AACTCGCCACTTACGAATCGTTGTGTTCGGGCACTTGAAGGCTGGTGCGTTAGCTACTTGAAATGATGTTACCGCCTGATGCCAGTTACTCACCTGCGCCACCTGTCTGTGACTGTTTGAATATAACCATTGATTGCAGTGCTAGCAGGTTTATATCAGTCCCCAGCAGGTGCGTGATGATTGAACATGATCCGTACCAACTGGATCATGGTGGAATCGCAGGTCGCGCGCTAAAGCCTTCAGCCGGTCATTTTCCAGAGTAACGTTCTGGAAAACGGGGTCCAATTCATGAAGAGCTAACTTAAGTAAGATGGATATGAATAGTTGTGTGGATGGGCAACGAACCGTGACCGATCTTATTTACTGCCCTTGCTTTATCCCTGGTAAGTTTCCCACTACTATCAACAGCATCTTCGTCAAGGAAATATCGGATCTTGTCGCCTGAATTCAGAAAGTAGTTGTCACCAACGTGGTTCTTATCCGACGTTGTGAATTTGGTCTGCCACAAGTCAAGAGTCCTGGATGTTTGTGATTTAGATGATGCCAGTGTACTTACCATGGGATGGTCCTCTGGTGTAAATCCATCAAGGAGCTCTTTGGCCCGGAACAAAAGAGAACTCGTCTGATCTTGCGAGAGAAAGCCAGGTACAACTAAATATCTATGTAGGCCGGTCAGTGAGAGTAGCGAGTCTCTTATATGTCTGACCTACCCATCCCTATAGAACTGACGGACATATCACATATCAGGGGTGACGGAAGATTCAGGTGCACAGTTACCAACCTTGTCGATCTGCGCCTGAGAAAGGTATTCCAGAGGTTGGGCAACTGCCATGAATCGTTCAGAACGTTGTTAACGTCACTCGCTAAGCACTGAGGGAGAATTCGCGCTAGATAAGATAACCTATACTAAGATGTGCAATGTGACTGGACCGGTGGGTTCCGGTGCATTTTGATCTCCGCCGGCCGGTAGCCTCCTGCCACTCCGCCTCAGAAACTTGACCCCAACCACCACTTCTATCATTACATCAAGGAGTCCTGGCTGAGACCCATGGCACCAGCGCGTTCCACCAGACGCAATCAGCATGAACAAAGTATATCCTTACGCTCTGGCCAGGATGCATCGCCCACCGCTGATGGCCCCGGTGGCGACCTCTTTCTCGAGCCCATGATGGGAACTCCCCTCAATGTGTACATCGAGAAGGAGGTGGAAGATAGAGACGCGCTCGTCGAACTCGTAACGGTAGGCCATCCTTCAGTTACTTATCGTACGGATTGGATCATGTGTATTTGAACCGTCGACGATGTGTTACTAAATCCCATCTTCGGCAGAAACACGGCGGCACATCATCACCAGGGTACAGTGGGACGCCATACATTCTTGGTGAGTACACATCCTTGTCATGTCCGCCACAATTCATGCAACTGCATCTTAGTCGATCCACATAAGGAATCAGGCCAAAACTTGTACCGCCAGTACGCCGGTAAAAAGGGTAAAATCGTTCTCCATTATCGCTGGATTCATGAGTGCGTCCGTGCTGGCGCTCTTCAAACGTTCCAGAACAACTGGGCCGGTTGTAAGGTCACTGGAACGGAGAAGTTTGTTTTTCTTTTTACCGATCGGTCTTCCCCGTGTTGAATGGTCTTACCAGAGTCACACCACCTACCGTCGTCCCGTCCCAGACTGATCAGACGCGCCCCTCCACATCTCAGCCGACTCCAATGCAGTCCATGGCTCCCCATCCGCAAGCAATGCCTCCCATGCCCCCCGGAGATCCCATGGTTCATCCGCCTCAAACATCCTACGCTTATCCTGTGTACGGTCATCCAATGCACGCACCGCCTCGAGGTATGCAGCCGCCGACAGCTGCCCCGCCACAATCATGGCAAGCGCCAAATGCCATCGCACCACAGCAAACGCACATTACCTCACCTCAGACTGCTGCAATGCTTGCCCGACAAACACATCCATATCGGGATGAGCCTTGGGTGACGCCCTTCAATCAGCCCCCGCCCCATATGGTAGCTGGACCGAGTGCGGCAGGTTATGATTATAGATACGGCGATGACCGTCCTGAATGGGCTCCCCCAGCCAACGACTATCCTTACGACCCTGCTTCGGTAAGTTGTCATGCGTGTTGGTCACGGTTTCCATTCATATGATCAATATCAGTATGAGCATCCTTATGATCAGACTGCACCTTACATGGCAGAGGCCGGACCGCCGACCGCTGGTCCGTCTTCGGTTCCTGCTGATAGTACTCTTGCTGAGAAGCCTCGTGGTCGTAAGCGCACTCGTAATACTGTAAGTTTCATTTCATCTATTCCTGCATGATATATCAATGTAACATTATTATTCATTGTTAGGCGCCCCCCGCCGCCTCACCTTCCGCTCTTGTACTGAATCGCCGAAATCCCCCAGCACATTCACCGACCCCTCCAACGCGCGTGATTAAAAGCACATATGGAGGAAACCTGTTTACCTCTGATGATGTATTATACCTCAAGCGATACATTGATTACTGTCAAGAACAAGGTCTCGTCTTGAGGTGAGTACTTGCAGTTAGATCGCAGCCAGTACTAAATTATCTTCAGTTTGAGAGAAATCTGTGAGAGAATCGCAGTCAAAGTAAGCTGCTTACATTTTGGTGCTGTTCAATTTGTCTGATACTGCCGTGCATGGTAGGCGCCCCATCATACGTGAGTCTGTTTCAAGTAAGACGATATTATTGATTTGATGAGTGTCGCAGATTTTACTCTTGGCGCCGATATTGCAATAAACATCAGATCCGGTTGGGTGGTTACTCAATGGACACAGGCGACAACAGTACGCCCCGCCCTGAAGGCGAAGTTGAGCCTGAAGAGGAAGAGCAACTACCGCCACTCGGAACTACGGGTCCTGGCATCATCGCGGCTGCACAGGCTCGGCTACAACAAGATGCTGGTCGTCCACGCAATCGGTCTCCGACGCCACCTCGTGCTCTCTTCAGGAGTACAACAGGAAAGGGGGTAGCTTTCACGGACGAGGATGTTGCGTTCCTGGTGCGCTTCATGGAGTACCGGAAGTAAGTTCCCCAAAAAAGGGTTTTCCGCGGTGGTTTCATGATGTATCTAGGTCCCAAGAGCGATTTGATATGGTCGCGTTTTGGAAGGATGTTGCCACCAAGGTAACCGACTCAAAATATACCGTTTTATTTTCTTGACTACTCATCGCTTTCAAGGCTCCGCATCACTCGCGCGCATCATGGATGAAGTTTTGGCGACGTCACAAGCATGAACTCAACCGCACAGAAGAGGATGAACCTCTACCTCAACCACCGGAGAAGAAGATGCGTTACAGCCGTGGAGATGACATCCTTCTTGCGAAGTACTTTTTCACAAAGCCGGAAGGGACGTCAGACAAAATCTTCCAGGCGTTTGGTCGTATAGTCAGTCATCACTGTTCGGTATTATATTAAGCTGGCTCACCTGGTCTTTTTTACAGCATCCTCATCATCCTTGGAAGGGATGGCAGGAACACCACCGTATACACAAAGCCAAGATTGATCACTTTATTCAGCAGTTGGGAAATGGCGAGAACATTGACATTGATGACAATGGGGAGGAACCTTGAGAGTCTTGCGTTTATTATAAATGTACTTTAAACTTGAGGATGTTTACGGGGTAAACCGGTAACTTACATTCGGGCGAGGAAGGCTCATATGACAGTCGATATATATAGTAGTCAATGTTCTTGACAGTGTTAATGTCAAGGACAAGCTGTCTGAGCCCGAGTCGTGAAATATTATTCCTAGATTTGCTTGAACGTTTATCCCTGACATGGACAGGGCGACAGTCGTCCCTTAGGCCTTAAGCTTTATCCATTTGGTACGTATGGACAGTACAAGTTAAAACATATCAACGAAAAGTTATCATCGGTGCTCACTATCATCAACGGTCATAACGCGTCTGGTGTGAAGGCACATGGAATTTAATGTACCAATAGATTGGAATCTTGGACCAATATGATCATGAGAATACATTACACGATAGTCGTAAAAGACATACACACAACATCCCACGAAGCACGGTACATGAAGCCTCATGGCGCTCTTCTGTGAGCTTTGAGTATCTCGATGTTGCTGATAAACTCTCTCACCAGAAGTAAGGGTCGACGGAACAGTACTTATCAAGATACCGCGTGATTACGACGAGAGTGCACACACTGGTAACAGTAGTAACATATCTCATGAACACGACCCATATTCAACTGGTTTGGCACGGGTGGTCCATACGGTGTGCTTTATTAATATGGAACACGTATCGAGGCAGAGCAAGTGATACAAACTCCCATTAAGCGATTGGAGACCTCGTGACCGGGATTCGCTGGGGTAACCAGGAAGCTATGAACAAACGCCCATACGAATTAGAACTTTGGAAGACCTCGTGAATTTTGAACTTCTTGGTGATGGAGCCGTGTGCACGCAAAAAAGATCTATAAAAGGCAGTGTGAAGAAGTACCCGGAGTAAGCTCTGCCGGATCGGTGCGGCGTCAACTCGGATAGCTGATGAGTGCATCGCACACCCTGGTGCTATGAGATCGGGGCGCCGGAGGGGCGGTGACGAACGTATCTGTAATACCCCTACTACTACTTGTAACATATGATATTAATAGCATTTTGCGATAGAACGGAGATTTGAAGTGGAAGGAATTACAGTGGACGACTCACTTTGATTAAAAAGTTTAAGCTGAAGAGAGCTCCGAGCTAGTTGCTCTATAAGGTGCTCTTAGATGCTATAACACAAGGTCAGAGACAATGAAATGTATTGTTGTGGACAAGAACAAAAAAAGACGGAAAGGTTAGTATTTTGAATTGTTTGTATAAATCAACAGGGCCAATCGGAGTTTTAAATAGTATTATCTCTTGTAACGGTTCCTCCCCGTTAACGACTGCTACTTGTCCTTTCACTCATCTTCATCGTTAGTCATCGTGCCGGGTGCCCTTTCTCTTTAAACCGCCATCATGGCGAACGTAGCTACCCGTAAAAAATCAATAGCAGCAAATCCCGGTCTTGTAATCGAAACTCCAGTCGCTAACAACAATATCCTCAACAAGGCAGCTTCTCAATCAACATCTCTCTACCAGCAATGCTCTTCATTGCGAACTCGTTTAATGCGCATCCCTGGCTTTTCCGATTTCTTCATACTGTCATCTCAGTCAGGCTCTCTTCGTCAATCTACCGATCCTGTCACGCAATTATGGGACTGCTTCTCACTCGGAATATCACTCTGTTTCCTATACGAACTTCTTCCTGGAAGAACAAATCCACCTACAGTCAAGACGGATCCTTCTGTTTTCGACGTCAGTAATGAACGCGCAAAGAAACACGCTATTGCAATTTTTGTCATGAATATCAAGAATCTGGACAACTGCGAGCAGTTCACAGTGACAGATTTATGGGAGAGACACTCTACAGATGGTCTGGTCAAGGTGCGCGCATGAGTTATCCTCATCGATCACTCTAACACCTCATTATGGCCTAGGTTGTCAGCACTGTGACCACCATTGTTAACATGTTGCCGTCTGCATTATTCGATGCAGCGCCTTTGTCACCACCATTGATGCCTACGCATGATTCACTTGACTCATTAGTGGGCGATATACAACATACGCCCATTCCTGCCTGCCCACAGGATACCGCCCGGAATAATATTATCAGGGAGTTGGTAGAGACCGAACGGAAATACGTCCAAGACTTGGAGGTCATGCAGGCGCGTACTCTATATTTACATTCAAGATTTCTTGTTTAAATTTGACAATAGAGATATGCTACGGCGTTGTCGCAAAGCAATACAATTGACCAAGACACCATCCACTACCTTTTCCCAGGACTGAACAAACTTTTGAACTTCCAAAGGAAATTCCTTATTCGATTGGAAAGCACCGCAGAGATGGCGTGGCGGGATCAACGCTGGGGACTTCTCTTTCTGGAAAATGTGCGTGTTTTTCAATTGTATCTTTCTTACTGGTGATTCTTATTCGTGATTCCTTCTGGGAACAATAGGAAGAGGACTTTGCAGTATATGAACCCTACTGCGCAAACTATACCAATGCAGTAGATCTAATGGTGGCCGAGGAGCAGAATCTTTCGGTGAGCTTGCTAGTTCCTGTACCTTGGGCTGTTCCACCGTATGGCGTGGCGACATATCCTAAAAATAGGAATATCCATATACTGATCGCTGTCCTCAGGTCCATAATAATTTGATCAACGCCAAATCGGAATTGCCTGCTTTTTTGATCAAACCAGTCCAGCGAATTTGCAAATACCCACTGCTCCTTGACGTAAGATAATTTGGCCGATATCTAATCATCATGAATCTGACTGGATGTTTGTAGTCACTCATTAAGGCTACATCTGCCACTGATTACCCGCAATTTGAGGAACTGCAAGCTGGATCGGCTGCCGCTAAGCGCATTACCGATAAGATCAACGAGGCACAAAGACGGGCCGAAAACGTCCAGACAGTTAAAAATCTGGAAGGCCGCGTACAAGACTGGAAGGGTCATCACTTATCCAATTTCGGTACTCTTCTCCTCGACGATATATTCACCGTCACCAAGTCTGACGTCGATCGGGAATACCACGTATTTCTCTTCGAGAAGATCATACTTTGCTGTAAGGAGGCAGTACCTCCCCCTCAAAATAGCAAACGCGGTGGAAAGAATAATTCTATTCTTAAGAAGCAGAATGGCTTACATGTGCCTGCTCCGCCACCCATGACTTCACCAAACAAACGCAAGGACACTCCTCTCCTGCTGAAAGGTCGCATCTTCTTGAACAATGTCACCCAAGCTATCCCCAGCTCGAACCGGAATTCAGTTGGTAGGTCTGCCGGCATTTGCAGTTGTCACACATTGATAATTTTCTTCAAGCGTCATCGACAGTTAACCCCCATTCCCTGGCTGTGTGGTGGCGAGGCGATGATGACCTCGAGTTCTTCACCCTTCGTTGCAGATCCGAAGAGCAACTACGACAGTGGGAAGCTCAAATTAATCGCCTCATCAAGGAAGTTGCCAGTCGAAGGGCATCAGAACGAAATTTCTCCCAACTCATGGCTCAACACAGCATTCATGCATCCGTTCCTGCTGTGCATATGGCACGTTCACCGTCATATGTCCATGACCGTGGTTCCTCGTCGATGTCACATGCTCACCCCCCACATAGCCTTCCACCTCATCCAGCCAGCACTCGCCATCGTGTCAATGCATACAGCACCAGTGATGATGTCTCGGTGGCTGGATCTTATTCTAATGGTGGCCAACCTGGCTACCCGTCCTCCGAGGGTTTCGGGTTCGATCCAGAGGACGAGTGTGAGGATTACCCTCCTGCAAGCCTACCGCCATCCGGTCGTGGCACACCCATGGGTATGCATCGAATGCAGAGCATGCCTGTTGAGCCACGCGAGTCAACTATTGTCGATGACCGTCCCCGAGCCAAGACGGAAGACATCAATGGTCACGTCATGTCGCAATGGCGGTCGAACAATGGCGTTTTACCTCTGCCACCTGGAGCCGGTCCCCCTATCCCCCCTTCCTACCGTCCTATGGCGAACAGGATCAATTCTGCTGCAAGCTTTGGAACAGACCGTCCGCCTCGAATGCCTTTGCAAGGCCAAATCAGCTCGTCGAGGCTAAAGGCCTTGTATGATAGTGGTGGTTCCCGTAGTGTTACAACATCACCAGCTATGAATGGCAGTACTGCACCTCCGTTGAGCAGATCACGGAGTGCTAGTCAGCCTAGCGCATACGTACCACAAGTGCCTGCGCCTCCTCCTGTTCCTAGCAACGTAAAGTGGACTCACCGTTCAGAGGATTCTGCTACTTCTAGTAGCAAACGGGGTAGCGGATCGAGTCAGTCGACGGGTGGGGGTTCGTCAGAAGAGTCACCACACAGCTCCTCGCCGATCACTCCATTTGGATCCAGCGAATCATCTCTTGGTGGTGGTCCGGCTCTCCGATCTCCTCGGTCACAGACGTTTGAGAACATGGTATCTAACGGCGCCGCCCACTTCGCTTTTTCACCTCCAGTCAAGGTGAAAGTCCACTTCAACGAAGACATATTCGTCATCCAGGTCCCGCGAAGCACAGAATATTACGACCTTGTCGACAAAGTCGGCAAGAAAATACGTCTTTGTGGTCCGCGCCGCGATGATATCCCTTTGCGGGTAAGATATCAGGATGAGGACGGAGATATGGTCTCTCTAGGCTCCACCGAAGATGTTCAAATGGCTTTCGAGTCGTTCCGACCAGGCGGACAGGTCACACTCTACGTGACATGATTCTGCCCTCATCATATTGCATCGCTATCTTGTCTTCCGCTCTTCGACCTTCACATACATAATTTGCTGTTTCCCAGGCGGACTCACTTCTCTCTTTGTACATAATATATGTATCACTGGCATGTTCGCACCACATTCGTTCTATATGGTTTTCTCTCGCTTTCTGACCTCCTTGATTCAGGTGCTCATCGGGCTCGAAGGCCATCCTATGTGGTTCACATTTCCTTGACAACTCACATGGCTCTCTTCCTTCCTTTGTGCAGTACTTTGAATCCTTGGGTATTCGTATCATCTAAAAGTGGAGCACTAGTCACGTGTAATTTTTATTAGAATACTGCACTCATTGCTACGTTTCAAATACATCGTGTATTCTGTACAGAGTTGTACAGGTATGTCTTCGCATCTAACATTGACAAGGCGTGGTTTATATGATAAGCGAATCGGAAGGTAACCATTGTCAGATATCACAGTGCATCGGGAGAGATGTCGCCCAATGTGTACAGCTCTAGTGCACTAATGGCACTGTACAGTGATTGTGCATCTCCACCGTGCTCCGATTGAGAATCAATTGTTTCCTGCGGTGCTATGTAAGCCAGATAATTAATTACCCTGATAGATGCCACTCACATCAAAGTAATGATTGACGAGGCTGCGGGGTGCTACAAAAAAAGGTCAATAACGGTCAAGTGTACAGCAAGAGCACATACTTCGTGGAGTTTTCGGCAGCCGACAGTTGACACCGCTTTGTAGGATATGATATGCAACGAGGCCAGTCCTAGACACCGCTGGTTACACCCGTTCTACCTCCATAATAGCATGCGACTCACCATCCTGTTTGATGCGATGCTCCTAAACCGCGTCCCGTATCTCCATGGAAGAACTGCCGAGATATAGGGTGTAAGCTCAGGCGTGAAGTATTGATAAAATATTACCTCATAAAAGGAGACGTAATCGCGGAAATGCGGGTCCTGGTCAAGCTTCACGTTCCCACCGTTGGTAGCCCTTTTGCCTTCCACGTCACGTCCAAAAATGTGAATTATACGATGTTGTATCTCCTCTGCCACCTCCACGAGGTTCATATAATCTCCACTTCCTGTGGGACATTCGACCTGAAGAAGTGTCAGTGTGAAGGGACGTACAAACCATTTACGCTTACCTGCAGCTCATCGCCGTAATATTGATAAAACCGCTGCAGACTCTCTATCAAAAGGAAGTTGACGGCAAGCCCTGAAAACCAATTAGAGACGGGCAATCTCGGAATAGTTAAATGAGCCTACAAATAGGCCCTCTCCAATTTGAGTTTCCACCAAACATTCCAGAGTGAGATTCTCCAGGCCAATACCCTACCTCATGCCAATCTCCGTTCACCTGCATCCCCCAAGGCTTTTCCTTATGTAGCTTAGATAGACTATCTCCGTTCATTAGAGCAGCCCAGCGACCGCTACGTGGAAAATACTTACGAACGAATGCCGTATTCGCTGAAGAACTCATCCTCGTCTAGCATCTTCTCCAGTATGCGCACCAGACGTTCTTTGCTGGCCAACGCAAGTAAACGCCGTTCGCCCCTACCTCCAGCTACCACATGGTGAATAGAGCACGCGAAAATATGTGATCGACTCACCCCTCATATTGGCCATATTTCTTCCCGATATTTCAGGCCGGTTATCGAGGAACCATTCCATGCGCTTCTTGAATCCAGGGAATCGATTGATTACGGCAGGTTCCAAAACAAGGGTCGCGTAGAGAGGAATGAGACTGACAAGGCTCCTTACGGGAAGCTGAACCGAATTCCCTGGACCAAACTCAATGGCGTCATAGTACATCCCATCTTCTTCATTCCACAGGCTCGACTCGTGTTCACCTGATCTATAAGTCATAGCATCTGCGATGAATATGAAGTGCTAAGATAAAGTAAGCGGGTTTGTAGAATTTGACTGACAGAACTGGCCCACCTCAAAGAACTTGGAAGCAATGTCTTCATATACAGCATTGTGCTTTGCCAGTTCAAGGGCTATGTTTAACCTGACAAATAATGAATATATAACAAAAAAAAAATCCGGGAGTGCCACGGAGCTCACATATTCAAACAATAAAATGCCATCCAAGCAGTGCCATCCGCCTGACGCAGGTTTCCACCCGTGGGGAGTGGCTCCGAACGGTTAAATATGCCGATATTATCAAGTCCAAGAAATCCTCCCTCGAATACATTGTTCCCCCCAGAATCCTTGCGGTTGACCCACCTCAAAAGCGGGAATCAGGGGTGACGAAGGAGTAGAAAAGCCCACTCGTACTTACCACGTGAAATTGAGCAGTAACTTCTGGAAAACACGTTCCAAGAAAGGCATATCTTCCCTGCCAGTAAGCTTACGTTCTATTTTGAAGACTCTAAACGTCGCCCTACATCACTATCAGCGATGCGATCCTGCCATCGCGGACTAATTTACGTACCAGGCATGGACCTAGTCCACGGATCATTTAGAAGGTGCACTCGCGAATAAATACAGACACTCACCGGTGGGTTTACATCACTAAAGTTCCATTCGTATGCAGGAATCTGACCATCAGGCTTCATATACCATTCTCGAGTCAATATATCTAATTGCTTCTTTGCAAATACAGGGTCCACTACGGCGAGGGGGATGCAATGAAATGCTGTGTCCCATGCCGCAAAGAAAGGGTATTCCCATCTGGAAAGCCTTCCGTGAGCTACAACCTAAAACAACTGAGCTGCCAACATACTTGTCGGGCATGGAAAGAATATCTTCTATGTGCATATGACGCCAGTGCTGTGGACTAATTAGTGCTGAATAGATCGGTAAGCATATTGGACTAACCTTGTTACGAATATGTTGGCGTCCAGGTGGAGGGGGAGGTTGGGCTGGATCGCCTTCGATCCACTCCTTTTGTACAAAGTAATAGAACTGCTTCGTCCAAAGCATGCCTCCAAGTGCTTGCCTCATGACTTGCTTCAAGTCATCGCTGATGGGACCAAAGAGCAGAGAATTATAAAACTCATTTGCTTCTTGCCGGCGCTCCTCTACGACATCATCAAAAGCACCCTCGTCTTCGAGGCTTCTGTCCCTATTAGGAGAAAGTGGGGTCAACTTCAGACGAACCACGGCACATCCACCTCGGCCTGGGACATCGCGGAAGATATAGTGCGCGGCAGACTTGGTTCCACATTTTTCGGGGCTCACAAACGACAACTCCCCGAGTGGAGCGTCGCGAGTAGGGGTAGGTACTGCTGGAAGTGGAGTACTCGAGCCATCCGTCCCTTGTGAGTCTGAGCGCTCTCGCTGAGGTCTGTGTGATGGAATGATATGATCGTGAAAGGCATCTTTCACGTATACACTCTGATTCGTGCCGCCATATAATCGGCGGAAATTTGTGTTGTTTTCTGTAAACAATAAATCTGGTTTTATAACAGCATCTTCATCACCAACAAATTCCCCGTCCGGACCCATAGGTGGGGGAGACGGTAGGCAACACAGGAAGTTCCCCCCCATTTCAGGGTGTTTAACCTTGATGTAGCTAATATCACCATTGGTAGTGGCAGCGGATAGAGATGGCATGAGCGGTTTATGTGCAGGCCAGGACCAGGTATTCCTGAACCACAGCTGCGGGATGATATGCAAGGTAGCGGGGTCAGGTCCTCGGTTGTAGCTCGTAATACGGATGTAAACATTGTCTGGATCGTCTTCGTCTTTCGCATACTGGATATTTTGTTATCACCAATTATTGCTACACGCAGGAGAAACCGACCTCCATGAAAACATCCCAGTAACGATCGTCATCGAAGACGTCCGTATCTAAAAGTTCATACTCCTCAACGTTCCGGTCACGGTGAACGTTCTCATTCACTAGTTCCTCGTATGGATAACTGCGTTGAGGATACTTATATAAGAACTTCATATATGAATGAGTTGGAGTTGAATCCAAGTAGTAGTAGATTTCCTTGACATCTTCTCCGTGGTTTCCCTGGTGGCCGGTGACTCCGAATAGCCTTTCCTTCAGGATGGAATCCTGCTCATTCCAGAGAGAAAGTGAAAAACAAAGGCGCTGATGACTGTCCGATATGCCACCAATGCCATCTTCGCCCCATCTGTACGCTCGGGATCGGGAATGTTCATGGGGGAAATGACTCCAGGCGTCACCATTGTCTGAGTAGTCTTCTCGTACAGTTGCCTAATATGACTTCATCAACCTGGTGCGTGATCACCGAGACGAGGCTTGCACCTACCCATTGCCTGTCACTGAGATATGGTCCCCACCGCTTCCAGTGACGCTCACGATTCTCATCCTGCAGTAAACGATATTTCTCAACTCCATGATAGTCCACGCCTAATGCTTCAGATAACCGCTGTCTATAGCTCTTGATCGAACCATATTCCTGAGTTTTGAGATCCCCTGAAATGGCCTTTGAAGTCTTTGGCGGTGGTTTGGGAACCAGTGGTGCCACTTCTGCCTTTGGGATTTGGATGGTCAGTCCAGGATCACGCGAATCCGCTTGTTGAATGTCCGAGTCATTGGTATCTTCAGCCCCTCTAAAAAGTTTCTGCTGCAGGGTCTTGATGGAATCTGACAACATGATAGCGGGAAGAGAGATGGTGAAGCTGGCTATCAATTCTGTATGCAATGGAAGTGGTGCGTTCGAAATACTAGTCTACCAGTGGAGCAGACTCAGGCTAGGCCTCACGCCTTATGACATCAATCAATAAAGTTCAAGCGACCACCCACGTCAAAGTTTTATAAACCAAGATTATCAATGGTGTAGGGAAAAAGAAGGGGTATGCGTGTAGTATACTTGTCACGTTTGTTGTAGATGGGCCTCAACACGAAAAACAAAACAAAAACCGAAACAACCTAGATTGGCGTATATAAGTGAATCAAGCCTATGGAGCGACGTGAGATGATAAGTGAGACCCGCCCGCAGATCAGATGGGAAAAGTCCAAGGGAAATATTAGAAGTTGCCTGGAATATGTGGATGATTTATAGCTTTAATTACCGCTTCACCAGACTGCATCCCCCGCCAACAGCACGCTTTGCGTCCAATCATCCTCGCTAAATTCATCGTCGTCTGGAAAGGAGACATCGAGATGACGATAGGGTGCTCGCGAGGTCATCATCGCCGGAGATCTTGGAAGTCCACCGGGTAATACTGGCGTCAGCAGGGCCATCGACTCACGAGGCTCCGCAGGCACGTTCTTGGCAGTTCCATGCCCAACAGAAGTAGCGATATCCGATTGCTCTTCCTCCTCAATACCTAGCGCAAGTGAGATGGAAGACGAGTCGATTTTTGTGTTCAGCACGGGAGGGAAGCTAAATCTGCCGGTAGATTGAGCTGTCATCATGGACACTGGTGACTCCGAAGTCGACGAATTCCGTGAATATGCTGGGGCGAAGTTGACGGGTGAAGACACGGGTGAAGCAGAGCGTTTGGAAAAGAGTAAGTGAAGAGATGGTTTTTTCATGCGTTTTGCGCGGGAAGCAAAGGAGTTGGATCGAGTGATTTCTGCCTGTTGGACACCAGGGAATGACATAGACGGAGTTGATTTGCGATGCATAACTGTGTGCAGCTGTGCGAATTCTCCGCCAGTGGAAGGAAACTGGAATTGTGGTTGATCAGGTCGAGACGTGGGTAGTGAGATAAGTGTAGGATCGGCGATAACTAGGGTGTGTGGCGAGGCCGAGGTTTGAGGTTCAGTGATGTCATCCAGGAATGGAAGACGCTTGGAGGACCGAATGGGAGATTTCGACGATATAGAAGGACTGGACAACGACGACGTCGAGGAGGAGAGCGACGGCAGGGAGTAAGGGTTTGGAAGTTGGATGTTAACTGAAGGCGGGGTTATGGGATGCTCGCGCTGCGAGGACTGGGACAACGAAGAACTATCATCTGTATGTGCAAATGATGGTGTGTCAGATGTAGATCCCGCAGCATCCAGACTCTGCCTGGTCGATATTGAAGACCGTGATGAGCTAAGATCAACAGGCGTATTCGCTGGTGCAGTGAGTGGCTCAACCACGTCATCGGTAGGAACCCCTGGAAGTGCCCGACAGGATTGGGTGTCGTCGTGCGTTGGGCTTATCCTATCATCTTGGTTGTCGAGTTGTTCTTCTTCTAGAACGTCGTGAAGGGACGGGACGCTCTCCCGCGAAGGGCGGATAGGAGCAACCAGATCCTGAACTTCATCCCAGATACCTTGGCTTTCACATAGCGCCTGCAACAGGGACGGATTCATGGTCAAGCTTGGACACAAGACAAGCAACAAATTGTTCAATGGCATCTTCGTGTCTTGACTGCGTTGGGATGTCGCGTTGATCAGCTCTGTGACTGTGAGTAGAAGATCACGATTTTCTTGTGGCAGGCGGGCAATCAGCGAAGAGAGTGCCTTGCGGAGTAGCTCTGATGGTGGATGCAATCCAGAGAAATTTGGCATAGCCAGAGTAGACAACGAAGGAGGCTTGCGCAATCCAGGGTGGATGTTCCGTGGACTTGGGGTAGGTTCCGACGTATTGTGTGTGAGACGCTCCGATGTCATTGCAGCTTCGAACGAAGTCGACAGAGCATTCGTTAGAATTGGTTCAGGAACTAGGGTACATGTTAGGAGCACGACATGCACGATGCGATCAGCCACGTACGTTCGCGGAGGTAGGCCTTAAAGATGGATGCTACGGCATGAGGGTCGAGATCACCAGGACTGCATTGAGCGATGTCGAAGTCGGCACCTACGAAAACAATAGTAACCAATCCAACTGCATCGAGGCGTAAAGCTTACCAGTATCAAATTCTGATCGTAATTTTGCGACATGAGATGACCTTCCATTAACACTAAAAAGGAAGAATGAGATAAATACCCCCTGATAACAAACGAGATCGTACCGGAACAACCCAAGCTCCTGTACACCCCAGGTAAGGATGTGCTGCGCACACCTGACAACCAACGCAGGCAATTGGCGACTCTCCAGCGCAGCTGAAGGAAGACTTGGAGCACTGCTTAGCGTGCTGTCTGCATCTTGTGTGGTGCTGCTGTCGAACTCCTTGGCACGCAACGCGGCGCGGACAGAGTCAATTGCTGTGTCCCTTACGCATGTCTTCATATCTCGTCCAAAAACAAGTCCGCCAGCAACACCGGCACCTCTAGGACTCAGGCGGACCGGACCACGCAGACGCTTTCCAAGAATAGGGACAGTTGATGCCAAGAGTCCCTCATGATCCGAAGATGAGCCAGCCGAACTGACACTCCAACTTCCAGAAGATGCATGAGGTGCGTGTCGGTGCGTCTTCATAGGTGGCTCATCGATACCAGAAGTAGCCCGTGAGAGGGGCGAGCGATTGTTGTGTGCCCAGCCTGGAGGTGGTGGGTAGCCCGAAGTGGAGGAAGAGGCCTTGCCCCAGACGCGACCCATCTTCTCAACCGCACGCCTAGCAAGGCCAGCAGCAGGGGCAAGACCAGTTATGCTGATAGCTGTCTGTCTGAATGATGGTGGCGAATGTGTTCCTGGTGACGCTAGTGGAATGCGTCGGTGGGGTGCAGGAATGTCTGGCAAATTGCGCTCTGGGTGCAAAGGAGAAGATGAGCGGCTATCCAATAAACTATCATTCGTGCGTGACGGGACAGGTGATGGCCTTCTTGGGCTAGAAGGCAGGGCTGAGAATTCAACAACTGATCTTCCCTTATCCCCTGATACGGATCTGGGAACAACGGGAATGGTATCCATGCTCATGGAAACGGTCGCTGCAGTACAATCCGGAGCCGTGGTCATCAATGTTAAGGGAGGGCCAAGATTGACAGACTGTGAACGCCTGTCCCGGCTCACTTTTATGGATGACGCTGGTGATCCAGGACCGAAAGGTGACGTAGAGCGTAATGGCGTGTGGAATCCCTTCTCCGTAATCCTCTCACCATCATCTTCTTCTTCAGGCATATAATTATCGTGGAACGTACTCAAGCGCTTGCTAACCGGAACGATGGTGTGATTCGACTGCAGTGACTCTGCCATTGAGACTGGGCGAGGGCCTCTTGTTCCAAATCCAGGCTTGATTGTGTGATGGCTCAACGTAGAATCGCTCTTTCTCCGGATCTCCTTCATATCCGATTTCTCGAGATCTCTTCTTTCATTCTCCTTGGATGCCACAAATTCTGAAGCCTCATCTGTTCTGCGCATGTAATCCAAAGCTGGCGCAATAGGACTCGTGGTAGTCATTACCGAGACTCGCTGGTCGATGTCTGTGTTCACAGGTGCGAGGCGTGACACGGGATGTGGCGCAGTAATCTTCGGTGGAGGCGGTGGAGGCGCAAGGCTCACCGCAGGTGAGGCGGGGGCCGAGCCTGAATGTTTCTTGCTGAACACATGCGAAGCGAGGGAGAGTGTCAACTGTTTGGCCCCGTATGGGCGGGATGGTGCGCTGCGTGGGGTCCCAGGGTAATCCTCGTCGCCACTCTGGGAGTCCTTCGCTCTGCTGCCACTATGCTGCGATGAGCCAGAAGAGACATTGAGAATCTCGGATTTTTTACGTCGTCCACCAAAGGCACGGGCAAGGCTGAATCCTGTTGACAGACTAGTGCCCGGCAAAGTAGGAGCTGGTGATGACGGTGGTGAAAGTACCGTAGCAACCTGTGGGCGGCTGTTTACCTGACCCATTGAAGGTGCAGAGGGAAACGAGCAAGGTACTGGGTTGGAAACAAGACCACCTGAACGACTCTTGAACGTGGAGGAACAAGATGTAGGGAGTAGCTGATCGGTTGCGATATTGAATTGGCTAGAGGAAGGCCCTGCAGGCAGCAGCGTGGAAGATGCAGTTGATGAAGACAACGAGGACGAAAGTGATGCCAAAGACATGGAGAACGGTTGCTTGATCTGGACAACGTGGTGGTCCTGAGAGCGAGAATGATTTCCAAGCATGATGCTAGTAGGCGACTAGACAGATTTGGACAAACACGATATAGACTCGGGGATAGCCTTTAATATATAATTATGGGTCTGAAACGCAAGGGAAGGAAGTTAGTACAGATCTGTTACAAGTGGAGAAAGAGGCGTAAAGGCACGAAGATAGCAATGCGGTGAGTGTGAGGATGGAAGCAGAAGAAGACGATTACAAAAGATAATGATAGCATAACACGTACCGTGCGTATTTAAAGTAGCATGAACAACAATGATAGGATCAACAGTGATCCTAAGGGCTAGACGGTTTGAACAAAGATATTCGTTTAACCGGTTCAGTTAAAACTTTAGCTTGACAGATTGTTGCCTAGATAGTCCAAACGGGTCAGCCAGGACCGCACACCGGAACGCTGCTGGTTACAGCGCTTGACTGCGCTCTAGATGATGGTGGTCAAGAAACAAAGAGGCAGATTACCGCCCGTCGTCGCCGTGTGCTTTCCCTGCTAATCGCCTTGAGGCAACCGTAATGATTCAAAATGAGGCAGAGTCTAAATTTGCGCAACACAGCCACACACATATACAAGTTCCGGTGCCAATATCAATCCGGATTTCTCCGTAGACCATTCCGCGTACGGTTCCGTCTCAAGTCACACTATACCATTCTATGCTACATACACCATATATACATATACTACGAGGGAAAATATGTATATAAAAAACAATTATGTATAGTGTGTCCAGGCGATGTGTCGTTTATCTAGATCAAGTGTAGATAGATCTTTATGGCGTGACCAATAGTTCCTTCACCAGCTCATAGGTGAAGAATGACGTGGCGATACTAGGTGCAACTTTGACTGCTCAAATATTTCAGTCTATGAAAGTCATGTGGACAATGATTCATACTCACGCAGATTTGGCCATAGTCCACGATACAATCCTCGGACTCCCTCCGTGCGAATGATAGAACGTAATGCATCAAACGCACCATTGTAATGATATCCCAGCCCTCCATCGGCCATTCCAGTCACTTGCATCTTCCGTCTTAGCACGTCAAATGGGTATGTTAGAGTTTGTGATATGGATCCTGCAGTAACGGATCAGAAACCCCCTGAAATAGTGAGTGTAGTGCGAACATACCAGCTATCGCTCCGCAAGCCAACTTCCTCGCAACGTTATTTTTTCCAGGAGGTGTCACGACCCCACGCAACGCCTCGTATGTTGCAAAGTTGATGCCTACGTATGGTGCAACTCCAACCGCAGTAGTAACTAGGCCCCGATAAAGACCGGGAACTCCACCCTCTTCTCGCATCACTTTCAATGTCATCCCGACCATGGTTAGCTCAGCTCGCTTTGATACCGTTTGGTTTAATGAGCTGGAAGAAGTATGATATGCAGACGCTAGCGCCTGCTTCGCCCCGGATGTTGCCATAACTGAGGAGCTCGGCAGTGCTTGTTTAGCCTGCAAAGGTATGCTAGCTGTTGCGATCGACAATCTTGACCGTACAAGATCTAGTGGGTATGTCGCGCCTGCGGAATATATGAGATAATGATAAAGTAAAATAGGTAATCGCTGCGCACAAACAGACGTGATCCCCGCTAGCGCACCACTAGCCAGCCGTTTGGGGGTATCGAGTTCCTTTGTCCCATAGGCCGTAAACCACTGAGAAAAATTAATGAGAGGGCTTCAAGGAACCGATAAATGACCCACACCTTCTTCAATTGTTCGTACGTAGTGAACTGTACGGCGCTATAAGGCACAATTCGGAGGCAGTTAATCCCATTCCCTCTCATAAAGCCTCTAAAGCCTTCCTCCTTCCACATCCTGACAAGACTCCGCCAGACCCCCTTGTACTGACCATCTGACGTTCGCGGTTGCACTTGTCTAGTAGCGCAAAAAGAGTTTTGTAAGATCGAGCTGTGCCCGGAGAAAAGAATGCAGCGGTGATCCGAACAGACGGAGATTGAATCACCATGCAGGGACTCACTGGATGATTTTGAGCCTTTCTAAAGGACTAACGACTGTGCGTGAAGCAGCCCCGGCAGCTCCACCTGCGACAAAGTATGATGCTATCTCTGGCATCCAGAACCTTTGCTTTTGTCCGTTCACAGCTGCCATACTGTGGGAGATTTTCGGCTGTGAAGATTGTGACGACTGTGTGGATGTCATGAGAGCTTGCGCAAAAAGTGCATGAAGAGAGTGATTAAGGGTTGTATATGATAGGAACGTGAAAGGGAGCGGGTGAAGCAAAACACAGGGCTCAGCCTGTGGTGCTATGTATACGAACAAGTACTTGGTGTGTGCAAATGAACGTTCGTCTTGATCGGTGTGGCGAACAGAAGCATCACGTGATTCAAATTTGGAGCACAAGGTTGGCACAAGGCCTGAACTTTCTTGTTCAACGTTTGGAAGTTTGAACAGCTAACGGAATGGAAACAACAAAATTCTACAAAGCAACCGTATTTACAAGACAGAATGAGCTATCCAACTCTGGGCTTCTTTCTGGCAGAACCTCCCTGACCACCTGAGAAGCTTCCAACGGCTCCCCCACTAACGCTACCGAAACTAGCAGTACTACCTGGTTTGGATTGTTGGGAAAGATTTACCTGAGACTGCTGTGATAGGTGCTGCCCTTGAGCCTGGCCATGCCCCGGAGCTACTTGCGACAGTGTCTGTGCCTGTGTGGGTGCCGGTATGCCCATCATAGATGGTGCCTCATCTTGAGTGATTCGCCGTTGAGGCGGCAGATGGTGAGCGGAAACAGGAAAAAACACGCTACATTATTGTGAGCGACAACGAGGAGGCTACATGAAAACAGGCTGCATGTGACGTACTTTCTTGTCGGCCGAAGATCTTCTTGAAACCATTTGTGTGCTAGCGCTTCTTTGGCCGTCAGGCGCTTATCCGGATCGTACGCGAAGAGCTGGCGAATGAGATCATAGCCTTGCTGCGAACGGATGCGTGTTTGGCACCACTCAGCGAGGCGATTTGGGTACCTGTAATAATTTCGGTCCAAGGCCATTCCGGATGCAAGGGAAACAATTCACGTGTCAAGGCGTTTCATATTCTGATACTCCGGCATGTCTTTGAGGCCTGACCAATCCTTTTCTAAAAGAAGTGAGAGAAACGCAATGGTAAATATGCCACCTCTTACCAGTTGGTGTTCCAAGAACCTCGAAAATCTTGAGTAGCTGATCGCGCTGAAAAGGGACATTTTTCTTAGAATCTAATTTTGCCTCCTCGCCCTTGAATATCGGCCGGAGACTCGCCAACTCAGCGAAGACGCATCCGACAGCCCAACAATCTACTGCCTTGTTGTAATGTTTTGCACCTAATAGGAGTTCGGGAGCTCGGTACCAGATAGTGACAACAACTTTGTCACCCGCAAAGAGCGGCTGAAGCGGTTGGTATATTAATCGTGCAAGTCCCAAATCTCCTATTTTCACCACACCAGATGCAGTGATAAGGATATTGGCAGGCTTAAGGTCCCTGTGAAGAATATGTGCAGAGTGAAGGTATACCAGGCCATTGAGAAGCTGATAGATCAGGGACTTGAGAACTTGTGATGCGATCTGTATCCGAAGGGTTTGCGAATAGTGATGTATTACTTGCTGCGCCAAAGCGTGGTCAAAGGAACAACTCAAAATATTAGACAGACAGGACGTACAAGAAAATCATGTTCAGCATATTCGAAAACCATGTATATCGACTTGTCTTCTAGGATAACCTCCTTGAGAGCAACAACATTTTCATGAGAGATTTCTCGATTCAGCTAGATGAGTAACTGGCCGCTGAAGCCTTCTGATGCAGAACAAAATGAACAAGCTTACTGCGATTTCTCGAATGGCGCTCTGACTGATGCCAGTATATGTGACAACATCTCCTTCTTTGTCTGGTTTAAACTTTTTAATCGCATGGATCTGCCCGTCCGACTCCAGGCTCTGCGCCTTGTACACGCGACCATACGTTCCTGAAGATATGAAACCAAGGATGGTGTACTTGGACGTGACAGCCTGGTGTAGGCGGTCGCGCTTATGACGATAGAAGCGCATTGGATCAGATTGGAGGAGCGTGTGTGACCATTCTTCATGCATTGTGAATTGATTTAAAGCTGAAAATTGATAATGGCTTCATCAAGACGTAGTGGAACATATATAGCTCACGCTGTCATCGTAATTAGATCCATTAGCGGAATTCGGATTCATTCTCTCTTCATCACATCCGTTTTCAAAGACTCGTCATATCTCGTGTTGACTTCGAAGTTATACGAAAACATGATGCGTGGTGCAGACATAGAAGCAGCCGCCGCCGCCGGGTCCTGGCACAGTAATGGCTCTCCACCTCAGGTTCGTGAAGCAGCTGGAGCAACTCGTCCCTATGAGCCAATTCGCGTACCAAGCGACGAGTCTTGTGGTCCATCTTCCTACCGTCCTTCTGTACTTGCCAGCGAACGCGTCCTTCTCTGGACCACTCCTCACGGTGTCACTTTTCAAAATCAGCTAGAACAACTTTATCCAGAGTCCTATGTAGTCAAATTATTCTTTGTCATGGCAGAGTCCCTTGACGAACGCACCCGCAATGACTACGGTGCAGGCCTACTACATTTTAATCAATTCTGTGATCGTCTCTCCATACCGGAACAAGACCGCATGCCTGCCTCTGAGGTCCTTCTTTCCATCTTCATTGCAGATGCTGCCGGTTCTATCTCCAGTAGCACCGCGAACAATTGGCTTGCTGGCCTTCGCTTCTGGCATGTCATTAACGGCGCTCAGTGGCACGGTGAGCGCTCAGAATGTCTTCGTCACGTCCAGCGTGGTCTTCGCCTTCTCGCCCCGCCAAACTTGAATCTCCAGCATCTTCCGATCACTCTCGAGTCGCTCATTCAGTTACACCAAGGCCTTGACTACTCCAATACCTTCGATACAGCAGTCCTAGCCATAGCTTGTCTCATTTTCTGGTGTGGTTGTCGGTACGACTTTCACTGTTTTTCTTTCACCCCCTTCTGACTTGAAATACAACCAGTCTGGAGGAACTGATCATTCCCACTTTTGATTCCTTTGATATGACCAAGCACGTAACCCGCTCTATCTTGCCCATTGTTACTCAAGAGTCAAACAATGTACGTCACTCGACCTTCCACATACCATGGACCAAAACCACCGGTAATAATGGCGCTGACATCAATGTTACCTCCCGAGACCATCTTACATGTCCTCATGCAGCTCTCTTTCGTCACCTTGAGGCCAATCCCAACATTCCATCTCACGCTCCTCTCTTCTCCTTCCAGACCCCCACCGGTGCCTGGACTTCCATGACTGAACAGTGGTTCCTGAAGCGCTGCAACCAATTCTGGGGCCCCTGATATGAATCGGCGGAGCCAAAGTTTCTCGTAGACCCGGGGTGTGTTACCTCAGACGTAGTCACCATTAAAGGCTGGCAAAATATCGCACTTTCTTAACCTATCAACGCCGCATCGCAGCCCTTAATAATCGATCCTGCTTTCTCGCATATCACTGCTCTCGTTCGCATACATTCAGTCATACAATACATGCAACGTCATCGTATTTTGCTTCCCACTGCCGTATCACGCACTTCCCATTCACGCATTTCGCACGAGAATCACCGTTTTCCGTTATCGCTGTTGTTATGTATCAGTAGCATACCACACGGTAGAATGTCACAATTTGACCAGGCCTGGCGTTGTGTTGACGAGGGTTACTGGAAGAGGAACTGATGCCGCTCGGGCCGCCGTACTCTCATTGAAGGTCTATCTGATTCCACTTCTAGATTCCCGATTTGCTGCACACTCGACTGCAACACGAAAGGCTAAGAGGGTGTGGATTCAGCGCTTTGCTCAAGACTGCGTGTGCACACGCGATCGATCTGGCCACTTTCCTGCGTGTCTGGTGTCACTATCAATTTTGCTTGCCAGTCACATAAATCTAATTGATGTCGTGTACTGATGACAGGATAAATATATGTAAAGTAGGTATCCTAACCTATCCTATGCTTTCAATCTTGACCCTCAGATAACTGAACCAATATATAGGTAACATATAACAATTGATATCTTTCTACATAAAGTGAGCCTGCAATCAAGAAGATCCAGGACTTGCAGACATCACACGCACCGGGTCCGGTACGAAAATAAGTTGCGTAAGACTGTAATCTAGTAGTGATCGTGAATAAGTAAGAATTGCGCAACTACTGTCTAGATCTCGGGTATAATAATTACGACTGGCGTAGTCAGCGTGAAAGCATGCGGTGCATGTATTGGTAAACACTAAAAAGACCTGGGTAAATCACCTGGTAGCTTGAATGTAATCAGGAGGGGGTGGGTTGTCCCTGATGGTTGTAGAAGCACTTTGCATTGATGCGCGTCGCTGCACTGGCGTAGTTTTTGAGATGCCCATTGAATCGTCGGGCACTGGCAGCTGGAATATATTTTGCCGAGTACCTGGAGCTTCAGGTAGAGGGCGGCGTGAACTTCCCAACTACGAGAAGAGTTGAATGAAGTTGTTCATGAAAGTGGAGACAAAATATGGCTCCTACCTCGTCAACCGGATATTGTGTTGTCGAGCTCACTACGACTTCGTCTACCGTGGGCATGCTAGAGCTAGGGATATGTAGTCTATTTGTAGTACGAGGCGAACTCTGAGAATCGTATTCTGCCTGTTGATATGACTGCCATGAAGTGCCTCGGGACAAAGTGTCTTGGTGGACAAGACTTGCATTACTTCTTGTCTCCACTGAGGAAGAAGCACCCATATTAGCATTTCCCGGGGGATGTTGGGGTGTACGAATCCGATACAAGTCCTGCGACGCTGCCTGTGCCGATTTCCATCGCCGATAAAAGAAGAACGCAGCTGCCGATGCACAGAGAGCCACACCGAGAGCCACGACAATACCTGCAATAGCCCCGGAACCTAAACTTCTGCCTCACGTATAAGTTATTGAGGTCGCTGAAAGTAATTTATCTCACGTTGAAGTTGAAACCGCATTGACGCTGCATACATCCAGTGGTTAACTAATTTGTGTGGGAAAAGTTAATTGACGTACGTACCTTGAAGTTCCTGACGAACCGCCGGAACTAGATGGACTTCCTGACGGACTGGAGCTTGAACTAGAGGAATTGGAACTTCCATTAATTAGCATCATGATGTGCGAAATCAGCGCATAACCATACTCACCTTGATGTAAGCAGTGCATAGTCTATATTGAGTGTCTGTCCGTTTGTTTCAGGAAGGTTGACGAGGGTCACCTTGTGCTGACCAGACCCGAGATTGTCTGCATGATAAAGCATCACTTCATAGAAAGTCAAATATGCGGTGGCATTGTACTGGGTGGGTTGTTGAGAGTCGAGAGAGACAGTATACAGACCGTTGCCAGGGCCCACAGTGCCAAATATGCTGACAGATTCGGCTTGATAAGTTGCATGTTAGCTGGGAATTACAAGTGTGTTCGTTGCTACGTGACATGCCCTTGGATTATCGATCAGTACAACATGGATAACATTTGGTTCGGCACTCACTGTGAATGTCAAGGTCACACTGGCATCACTAACACTCGTGGAGCTAAATGACGTTATTGAAAACCTCCACGACAGCGCGAGAGAGATACTCACTGCCCAGTCCCATTATTGAACAGGTTTACACTGGTGGGGTTCGTATTCCACTCTGGCTGCTGATACTCAAATCTGGGGTCCGCGTCATCGACCATCTCTGTTACTAGCTGGGTCCCGCTAAATTCAGTCTGCCAGACCACCTTTGATGAGCAACAGCAATGAGCCGTTGAACTAGTCAAAGGTTAGACACACTCTACCATGTCGATATCAACGTAGAGGTTCCCAGTGGCAGTGTTTGTAATCGATACCGTATGTGACCCTTGTGCCAAGCCACTTTGGTTGAAGAGCACTTGTTGAAATAAATTGACATTCGATTGACCAGTGTTTCCCGCGTAACTTGCGCCGTCGACCGCCACGGTGTATGTACCATGATTCGATCTTTTAGCACCATATATCCAGAAGGCCGTGCCGTTGAAGGAGAATGTGGCAACGCTTGATGTTACGTTCGATGTCTGGAAGGTCCCGCGGAAGTATCTGAGAATAGTTGTTATTCATCAATCGCAAGGCAAATGATATAAAATACATACTGGTCTGCTAAAGGGTCATCCCCAGAGTTTCCCGGAGCCCAGGTAGAATCATAGTGTATCAAAGGAGATTTATCGTCGACGAGAAATGAAACCGACGACATCTTAGGCAAGTGCAAGGGAAAAAAAGATGTCGAAGCTCATCCAGTGGTCCTCTTGTGCGGTTCAACGGTTTTTTTGCTATCTTGGGACAACAAAATTATTTACTTTATACTGGCGGTGATCGTTTAATCTTTAGTAATACCTACAACCGAACATCTGCACAGGTTAGCCTATCCGCACGGTTTTGTCAATGGAAGTTGATAATCAGCGCTCTGGTTCCTATAGCATTGAACAGGTACTACAGCGACTGATCAAAGATGATCAGATTAGAGGCATGTGTGCGCAACTGAAGCTGCAGTGCCTGGACGGCTGTATTGCTTCATCTTGGTATGGAACTCCCAAAGCGCTAGAAATCACATCAAAATACAAGGGTCACTTTGAGTGTGGAGTGTGGGGTCAAATGTGGGAAGCAGGATGACTGTCCTGACTACGCTACTTCAGGCACTACAAAGACAGCCACAATTTACGTAACTCAAACTTCAAACTCGGATGTGACATTACAAGTAGGACAACTAGTTAGCATACTTGACGAGAAAGATTCTTGTGACCATAATCCTTGCAAGGCGAGCTAGATCAGAAGAAACGAAGAAAGTAGTGCATACACATTGAGGTTGACGACATGGGTTCCTATAAATTACAGACACCGCATGTGCCACACTGTTCGCCAATCAGGCCTCAGGTTGAAAGCGCTTAGCGCTTAACTGAGTGTCATGTATTCACAATTCGATCGATTGATACAAAGTATAAAGATCTGAGTCACTGATGTCGCGACAAGCTTTCCAACCAAAAGAGCAAGAACTGGGACTGTCATTTCATATGAAGGTAAGGTGCACATACATCAAAAACATATACCATAGCAATGCATGCAACTGTGGTCAGAGGCTCGAGACGCGATCTAGGAGACCTTCAGCACCTGTGTGTTCACAGAAACTACTCTCAAGAAGGAGGAGCTCCGCGCGCCTCATGATATCCTGGACATTTTATCTCAGAAATTGATGCAAGTAACACCGTAGATTACTCACCACCCCTGTCCCCACGTCCGCGTCCACGCCCCCTGCCACGTCCACGATTTTCGTCGCTTCGCCAGTCGCCATCAAACCGGCCACCCCGCTCAGGCCGCTCACCACGCTCGACCCGTTCACCACGCTCGGCCCGCTCACCACGCTCGACCCGCTCACCACGCTCGACCCTTTCACCGCGCTCGCCACGTTCACCACGGTAACCTGCGAAAAATGGAGTAAGTGGAAATCATGAACAAAATGATCAAGACAGACCACCGCGCTCGCCGCCTCTGTAACTGCCACGGAAGTTCCCTCGATCACCACCCCGGAATTCACCCCGCCCACGGTAGCGCCCACCGCGTCCCTCCCCACGGAAACCTCTGCCACGTCCGCGACCTCGTGGCTGTGTGAAGCCATCATTCTCAGGCTCCGGGGCAGTGGCAGCGACAACTTCGATGCCATTCGCAGATGCAGGTACGGGTTCAGCAACAGGAGTGGCTGATCCTGAAGGAGCAAAACTCGCTTGTAGATTTGCGATCGATGGCAGACCACCTTCCTCGTCCGCCTCGGCCCAATCAATCGGTTGCGTGGGTGTACCCTGCGGAGTCAATGATCATTATGATCTGAAGCATACTGTATCTTTGGGCGAATGTCTAACTTACATCGGCTTTCACAGATGAAGGTGTGGGTTCTTCGTGCTCGAGAACACCATTCTGCGTCAGTTCTATCTCGGATTTCTCAACCCACTCAGCGGTATTCTCAAAGTCAGCGGTCTCAAGCTCGCTCGCTTGCATGAAATGGAAGCTACCAGTGCCACTCAGAATGCTGGTGGTGGGAATACCAGCAATAGGTTGAGATTCAGTGTGCGAGTTACTTGAAGGCTCAGAGGCGGCTTCCGTTGCTGCATCAGGCTCTGCCGGTAAGGGTGTTGGTTCACGAGGAGGGTTGAGGAAGGACTGCACAATATCCAGTAGCCTTGCATCTATCAGACTGTCAGTTTAATCCTGGATTATTGAGTCCGAGGAATGCTCTTACAAGAAACACCATTGCAGTCGCCTTGTCCGGAGAGAAGGCCAGACAAGACTATTTGCTTGAATTCAGACTCCTCAGTGATGAGGGTCGAGCAAACAGAAAATATCGCTTCTCCTTCAGCCTCGTTAAAATCAAGAGCAACGGGAAGAGGCTGGCGATTTGAGAGACATGTATGCAGACGGATTAGAGACAGTATAGCAGAGGTTTTGCCAGCTAACGATGCCTAGAAGAATTCAGCTACAAAGCTCATCAATCACAATCAATTCCTTACCTCGGCAGCAGCAACAGAGTCGGCGACTCTGACAGCCTCTGCAGCTTCAGCCTCTGCACGTCTGGTTGCCGTTTCACGTGCAAGGTCAGCTTCGTGGGACTGGTACATAAAAAGATTTATTATTTTTGTCGATGAGTAAATGATGGTATCGTTCGAACCTCGATCAGTTTTTTGACATCTTCTAGTTCTTTGTGAACGGCCTCCAACAAAGGAAGGGTCTTCAGAGTTCGCTTTTGGTCATCGTTTAGTTTTTCGTGCTCCATTGCTGCATAACTCGCTACGCGGGACTGGAAGACATGTCAGTTACCTGGTGCCTAGAATGCAAAATGATAGTTTCACGTACCATCTTCTTGTTCATAGCTTTTAAGCGCTTTTGGAGAAGTTCTACAACCGGGCTAGATTTGGGGGTGAAATCGTCGAAGGTCGGAGCTTCAGAAGGTGCAACAAGTTCTGGAGCGACTGTACCCTCCTTCACATCCGCCTCTTCTGGTGCCCGGTCAACAGGAGCAGCAGAAGTAGCATCGGGAATGATGACGGAGCCCTCGGCAGGCGAGTCTGCAGTTTTTGGCTTGTGTGATCGACGTTTTTTCTTTTGAATTTTCGCCTGTGATGTAGGAGGGAGAGCACCGGGAACAACACGGACATTTGGAGCATCGGCCATATTGAAAAGCAGATAGTAGGAGATGAGCTAGTGCAAGAGCAAGAGTAAGGGCAGACAACTGAATTGTGCTTGAACAAGTCACAAGAGTAAGTCAAGGGCAAGCTGAAAATTCAGATTCTCACGGTTGATGTACATCGATCTGCTCTTCACCATCAAACACGCTGCCAGATAATAAACCATATCATCGCCATGAATGCGGCAGATTTCAGCACCAATAGGCACTCCGCGAACGTGCAAATGGCCATGCACATGGCAAGCAAACATACGGATCTTTGCTTCAACGATGGAAATATAGTCTTGCTCGCCGGCATGTCCTATTTCTTAGTTCATCAAGGGCTCCTAGCACGGCATTCCGAGGTTCTGGATGAACTCATGCGCTCCATAGACAACACTCCGACACTCGAAGACCGCCCAGTCCTTACCTTACCAGATTCATCTACAGATGTAGCGCTTTTCTTGAAAGCGATGTATGATGGAATGTTAGAACACGCGTCTTTCTCTCTTCATTCTAGCTGACGTACAACAGATCATTCGTGACTTATAATTCAGAGGGATTTCCAACGCTCTCAGGCCTCCTCCGCATGTTGACCAAGTACAAAGTGCACCATCTCCGGAACGATATCTTACGCGGACTCTCCAACTACTGGCCTACTACCCTTGCCCAATGGGACACGCGTGAGGCATCTGTGACCGGACAAGATGGTACCTATACACCACGCGATTCTCTGCCGCACCCCATGTTAGCCGAGTTGACTAATTGCCTGCTTAGTGTTGACCACTTTTTGAATCAGAGAAATCATTAACCTCGCTCGTGAAATCGATTACCTACTACTTCTGCCATCCGCGATGTACGACCTAACCCGTTCCACTCCAAGTGAAGCTGCGATTGGTTTTGTATCACCCTTCACCGGCGTAAACGTCAGATTAGAATACGCCGATCTTCTGACCGTTCTCAAAGGTCGCGAACAAGCTTCTCGTTTTTTCTCAACGTTCATCGTCAACAACCTGGAAGGAAGGCAACCTTCCCAATGGTGTCTACGTCGCAAGGATGGCCACCCTGTCAATAAGAGGACCTGTCAGATTGCGTTCGAGGCCATCACGTTCGAACTTCTGCGAGACATCAACGGTATCATCAGTAATCGGACCTCGGACCCACTGTATGCGATGGCCGAAGCAGAGCAAATGCAGATCCGCGACGACCTGTTGAACAGCGAGGTTTCTCCCATGAAAACGTGCGAACACTGTCGGGTGGAGTTTGGAGCGGTAGTTGATGCAGCAAAAGAAGACTTCTGGAAAAAGCTGCCCAAGTGGTTCGATATAGATGTCTCCCCCTGGGGTTAATCTTGATTCCTGTCTGGTCAATCTGTTTCTTATTCGTTTTGTACTCTGGTCCAATGAAATGTCGTGCAGTCCTGTTCCAAATATTGGTTCTTGACTGGGCACGTGATCGATGGATTCATGATTTAGTGAGCACGTGATCTACGCGTCACAACCTGTCACGACTTGCCATCTTGATTCTTGAATGCTCTTCTTCAAAGCTTCATTCATGGCATCAATCCTCGATGCCAACACGGTTCTACAGCATCCAGCTATTGAGGAGACTCACGATGAACATTCCTCTGAGCTACATAATGAGCAAGTCTCTGAGGGTGATAGCGACTGTTGCGTATCCGATGGTCTGACAGATGGATATCAAAATGCAGAGTCAGATTCGGAGGAGTCGGTCGAAGGCAACAAGGAGGACTCTTTGCGGTATGTCTGATATAAGTGCCCCATTATTTACTGATAGGCCCGATAAGTTTCGAGGCAATACAAAAAATCGAACGACTAGCGTTGTCGTTTCTTGAACAACTTGCTGGTTCACTACCAAACCAACAAGCTGACATAACGGCTATCGGAATTTCTCAGGTACCCATTAATTCAAGATCAAAATACCCCAAAATCGAGCTTCAGTTAGCCGACCGTCATAAAACATCCGAATGGTAATGTCCTTACTCCGGGTCAAAATCCGCTGTTGCAGTCCCCTGATGTGTCGGTATTTTTAGTATCAGAGTTATACGATACCCCCTTAAACGAAAAGGAGCGAGTATAAAGCCATTCGGTTGGTCTGGTAGTCGTTTCATGATGGCTTTATTTTCATCAATGACCGTTTGCACACAGCGCAGATTTTACGTGTCATGGACTTCGCTCACCAAGCCTTAGTTGACAATGTACCATTAACAAAGCGGTATCCGTCTTCATGAAGCTTGAGAAGGAACCAAGAAGAAGCTAACCGTGTTCCTAGTGACATGTACTACAAGGATGTCCCCCTCTTCAAAGCTCAGGGAACTGTTGATCGAGTGCGTTATCTGGGCACGGAGTGTCACCATTTATATTCACTGATGTCAGCTCGTCGATGATCTTGCCGTGACATTGGACCTAGAACGGGCCGACCTCAAAATTGTAACCTCTTTGTCACCTTATCACGGATATAATTCCTTCAACGTTGTTCTAGCGCGCTGCATCGAAGGGCCTTATATGCGGCACTGGGCTGACAATTCATCTTCTCGAAGGCGAAGTGATTTCTATTAACGACTTAGAGGTGAATACATGTTCCAGAAAGACAAGTCCAGATTTTGAATGTGGTTGTCAGGGAACTTTGATACCTACGGGTGAAACCATAGAGCGATTTGAACTAAAAGAGGATATTTCATGGGTCCTTGTGGTCGAAAAAGAGGTATTTCCTGGAGGCCGTTCCTTACAGGAGATGTTGATCTGGTTCTCATTCCAGGCTGTCTTTCAAACGCTGTGTCGTTTTCAGTTCGCAAGCCACCAGTCGCTTCCCGGTCCTGGGCTCATAATCACTGTGACTAAGTGGTATGATACTAGCTGCGTTGCTGCTTATATGCGTCCTCCAGGGTAAGGGATATCCTGACATGGCCACCCGACAACTCGTGAAAACCTTGTCAGACAACCTTCCAGCGCAGTGAGTCAAAGCTGCAGCGTTTCCAAGTACTCATCATCATATTCAATAGCATTCCGATCGTTGCACTTGTCGATGGCGATGCGTATGGACTCGACATTCTATCGGTGTACAAGTACGGCAGCCGCAGCCTACGACATGAGAACGAAAAACTCGCAGCAAAACGAATCGAATGGCTTGGCATCTGGGCATCCGAAATTGCAGAGTAGATACTGATGACTTTCTACCCCCATCCTTACTGAAGTGGCTCACTCTCATAGCCTCGAAATTGATTTGGACACACTGATCCCGATCACACTGCATGACGAGAAGAAGGTAAGATGGACTTCATTGCCTCACCGTGATTTCAATCCTGTCATTATCCTCCGTAGGCGCTCGCAGTACTCAGCCGTGCCACCGATGTTGTGCCCACGAAATGGAGGCAGGTGTAAGTTTCATACCACAACTCGATACTGAATGTGCCTACAGAAAAGAGCTCACGCGGATGCTCCACATCCGAAGGAAGGCCGAAATCGAGATTCTGTCGAGTTCCTTAAGTCAAAAGTCTAACTCCCTTATACATTACTTGGCTCATAAAGTCTGCCACTTCATCGAGATGTCTGCCTGATGGTGATTCAAATGCCAGGCATACTCACAGCTCTTTGGCACTTAATGGTCTTTGAAAACATCCCTCCAGAGTTTATGGGCAAAGGTGTCACAACGCAGCGCATAACTGTCGTGAGTGTGCCAAACGCGTAGAAAATAGAACGACATACATACGAAAGTACTTATATCATGCAATCAAGGGTTCATTATCACCAGAAGATCAGTAAAACTGAAAATACGTAAGATAGGCCTCGAGCAGTTTCTGCAAACATCACGTGATGTGACTTGCTGTGACTTTACTCGTGATTACTGCATTTGGTACCGAGACTCCAGATACAATGTATGCCTTAAACCTTGCTTGTGCCGCTATCTCCTCCTTCAATTTCACACAAATGGTAATTTTGGAACGGATGACTCGTCGAGAAGTACGTATACTACAACTCTTTCGTTTCTGTTTTTTTATATCTTGTCGCCACGAACATCCTATACACATTCATTGCTTTTGTCACGCTTCATCACACTTTATCACGTGACGTTTACTGAAACTGCTTGAGGTCTATCTTATCTAAGAGTTTAAGACAAATAATGAGAGAGCTGAGTTATCGCAGTATAGTTCGTGGTTACTCAAGTGGCGGAGGGTCCTGCAGTCCTTCCTAGGCTTCAAGACATTTATCGTGCTCGAGCTCGAGCCGCTTCCGATGCTAAACCAAACCTGTGTGGAGCAATAAGAACGGGGGCTCCCGAGAGTTGCTTGAACCACCGATTGGCGCACTAAATATTCTCATCTAAGAATAGCAACAACTAGAATATCAGTATAATATGAATGGAGCGGGCTTTGAGGAACAGCAATGCCTAGTAGAAACAAGGACTCCCAGCAGTTGGGCGCCGCAGCCTCGAAATTTGACGAGACAGTTCCTCTAGTCTTCAAACTCTAGACTCCGAGTGTTTATTGCAGCATTGCAAGAAATAGTCCAAAATGCGAAAAAAAGGTAATTATTGCAAGGTAGGTTGCGATGTCCACTAAAGTATTATTCTGGCGGAAAGTCCTGCTATTCTTGAGCATCAAGGCTCCGTGTTCAAGTTTGAGTTGCGCGAGCGACCGACTAGTGACGTAGAAAAATGCCCGTCAATGCGGTAATTGCAGGGACCCGAGCGCCATAGGGTCCAGAATGTGTTCATGAAAAGCCTGTGGACGCATACGACGCAGAGCGGGTGGACGCTGAGAATGTGTTGGCAAGTATTTGTTATCCATGACAGGGGCTCCTCGCAGATACAGGGTATAAATTTCGATACAAGAATCATCGTTTATCAAGGAGGCGGCCCTTGGGATGCTCAGAAGGGGCGGAGAGTGCAAGATATCAGGTGAATACGGATGCGCAGTGTCCAATTGAGGTGGACTCGGAGGTGGAGGTAAAACTTCTCTTGAGAGAGAGGCAATGGAATTGGGAGGGCAATATTGACTAACTTCCGACGAAGAAATGGCAGGTTCATCAATGATTCGATCCCAAGGGCGAGAAGACCTTTTCCTGAAATAACAAACTACAAGTGCGGATAATATCAAAGAAAACACTGTTGTTAAGTCAGTATTTTGTAGAGGAAGACTTGGACGACGACGTCTTACTTATTCCACATGATAAACTAGCCCGCACCCCAGTGCTAAGCCCATGGCCGGCAGTTGGAGTTGCGCCATGTACACTGTGCTGCCCTGAGCTTGAGGAACTGGTACCACTAGTAGTGCTTGCATAACTTAAGCTGGAGCTGATGGACATGTCTGTATTGGCAATTGTAGAGACAGAGCTGGACTGGGTAATCGAGGTGGAACTGGAATGAGTAGTAATTGTGGAGGTGGAAGTGGGGGTGGGGGTGGGGATGAAATCAGAGAAGGAGAAAAAGCTGGAGCCGAGGAAAAAGCTGGAGCTGGAGTGAGTAGTGAATGTGATGCTGGTGCTGAACTGATTGATAGAAGTGGAGGTACTGGCAGCATGATGTGTAGTTGGAGTGCTAGATATGTCATCGTCGTCGTCGTCGTTATCGTCATCGCTCCCGTTGTCACGGGCGGGCATGAATCTAATGAATTTGAGATGACGCCGATCTTATATTTTTACAAGAACTCACACTGGCTCTCGCAGGTGTGAACTGTTAGCTGCAACCGCGATGGACTGCAAGGCGAGAACAAAAGCCAAGACTGGAAGCAAGCGGGACATGCCCAGTGGCCTTGCAAAAGGCGGAGAGCGCCGAACGTGGCGGGCAAAGGAAACGGTTTGAAAAGCATGCTCGTACGCATGGTACCGAGTACTGTGGTCGGCATTGACGTGAAGTGATTCTCTTCTAGAATCGGTCCGCACGAAACCGGGGAATAGCGTATGTAAGTAGCTCGAAGAATGATAAAGATCTAAGGTGGGGATTACCTGATTCTGATCCACACGCGCTTGGAGAAGCTGGACCAGTGATGAAACGAATTTAAAACATTTTTGACATCAAAATGAGGATATTCGTCACTGGGAGCCTAATCAAACCACGTCAGCGGCCGTAGCGATAAGAGTTGACTTATGCCGTAATATTGTAGAGTTCAAGTACGTACCCGGTGACTTGCTAGTGTTGTGGAGTTTCGAGTTACGATGTTACATCATGTGATCTACGAGAGACGCCAGCTTTCTTCAGCAGAGTAGGTCCTAGGAGGTGATTGGCAACGTGAAACTACCGGAGAATAGAGACTACAAAGGACTGGAACGAGTTAGCTGCCGAGGCCTTGATCAACGAGCTTTATAGTACAAATCTGTCCTGTTTATGTCTAAGGTTTTACATAAACATTTATCAGAGTATGTGAAAAAATAATTCAAAGTGAGGAAGAATTGGATCATCGCAATGTATAGTGCATGACGCACACTCAAGAAGGTTATTGTGGTGGAGGCTCCTGCAGTTCTTGAGCCTGGTCAAAACTCCGTTTCTTGTATTCGAGTTCAAGTTCCTTCTGATGTCGAGCCATATCTGCATGAAGCGCCGAAAGCTGGTGTTCAGACTGGGAGTTGCGTGAACTACCGACCGCTGGTAAATCAAAGCTGGCCATCACTGCAGGACTCGCCGAGGCATTATGGGGTATTGAATATGCTCGAGAATAGTATGATGCAGGGCGAGCGGGTGCTGAGAATGGGTCGTGAGGATTTGGGAGAGCAGGCACATCTTGCGTAGCTATTCGCTGAGGGCCTGTCGCCCGCGACAATGTGCTGTGGCGGTTCTGAGCAGGTATAGGGTATGAATTCTGATGGGACCCTAAAGGAGTGGCACTCGAGATATGAGCTGAAGCTGGATACGCAGTATCCAACCGAGGTGGAGATGGAGGTAGAGTGTTTCTCCCTCGGGATGCAACAGTTTGAGGGGGAAGGTATCGACTAACTTCCGTCGTCACAAAGGCAGGCTCATCATCGGCTTTCTCCTGAGCCCTCTGGTATCGTCCCTTCAAGTTGTAGAACAACAGTACGGATAATATCAAGAAAAACACTGGAATCGAGTCAACATTTTTTAGGGAAAGAGTTGTAAAACGTCAGTTCACCTATCCCAACTGCTAGCCCAGCTCCCGCTCCAGGGCTAAGCCCTTTCTGGGACGAGTTTGATGAACTTGTGTTAGAGCTGCTTGTAGTGCTGGACTGGGTATCAGATGTACTAGTAAATGTGGAACTGGACGGAGCGGTGATCACAACTGGTGGTAAACCAGTAGGTGTGGGGCCTGGTGGTGGTGTCAATGGACCCAACGACAAAGCCATCGTTATCGATTACTCGAACCTGAGACTTCTTCGATGGAGGCATCTCGTTACTTCAAATATATGTGAGCAGAGTCAGCAGACCGAGCCATACCCGAGACATGCCCGAGGCCTACGTATGCGTAGCTAGCCCACCACACGTGCAGGAAGTTCCCGTTTCATCAAGGTGGAGATGGCAACTTATTTGTGGCATTCGCATATTTGAAATTGAAGATATCGGCTTATCGAGATTCACAGATTGACTTCGGCTTGAGCTGGAAGAATCAACCGAACCAATTAGATTTTGAATATTGTAGATTTGTAGAAAAAGTATGGACCGCTTGAATGCCATGAGAGATTCCTTGAACTTCAGCAGCGCATGAGGATATTGGCATTTGGCAAGGTAAAATAACCGGAAGGACGTAAACTACGACCAGTTGAACATACAACTTGATACAAGTACCAACATGCTATGGAAGGGGAGCCGATGGATTTCAGTAGAGAAAAATGTGAAAGACAATCATATACTAGGGAGAGGCAGTGAAGCAAGTAAGGTAGCGCACGGTCATTGAATATTAAATTCCCTGAAGACCGATAAACTTCAATGAAGCCGCCTCCGATAAATGATCTAACTCGTTAAGTAGGGACAAGCGGATACCTAGTATTAGGAACGAAATTAGTGGTGGAGGCCTCAATCGATGATCGACAAGCGTTACAAATCTGTGCTGTTCAAAGTCCAGGCTTTGAACATTTTATCAGAATACGCGAAGGAATAGTTTCAAAGTGGGGTACAGCTGGATATTATCATGATCGTGATATATCGCGCGTGGCAGACATTCAAAAAGAATATTTCGGCGGAGGGTGGTGTGATTCTTGGGCCTCATCAAGATTCCATTTCCTCTGTTCGAGTTCGTTCTGATATCGAGGTATATCTGCATGAGGCGCCAGTAGCTGGCGCCCAGGCTGAGAGTTGCTTGAACTATCGGCCGCTGGCACACTTGAAGTGGCCATCATTGTAGCATTTTCCGAGGTTTCATAGGGTATTGAATATATCGGAGAATAGTACGATGAAGGACGAGCGGGTGCTGAGAATGGATATTGGGAATTTGGATGTGGAGGTGGAGGGTTTCTCCCTTCCGACGCCGAAAGGGGAGGTTTATAACCAGCTTTCTCCCGAGTCCTCTGATATAGTCTCTTCAAGTAGTAAAACAGAACTATGGATAATAAGAAGAAGAACACTGAATTTAAGCAAGAAACAAGTCAACATTTTGGAGGGAAACGCTCGTAAAATGACAGTTTACCTATCCCAAATCCTAGTCCAACTCGCGCTCCGGTGCTGAGCACTTCAGTTTTTTTGGACGAGCTTGAGGAACTTGTGACAGTCGTGTTTGCATAACTGGAGCTGGAGATCGTGCCCGTAGTGGCAGTTCTAGAGCTGGACTGGGTATTAGAGGTGGACCTAGAACTGGCATGAGCGGTGGTCAGGCCAACTAGTAGTACTGGTGAAGTATGTGTAGGTTCTGATTTTTTTGTCATCGTTCCAAGGTTAACGTTCAACGAAGACTCGAGCCTAAGATTCTTTACGAGGGAAAACTGAAACAATTGACAGCCATATCAAGGATCATACCAGCGGGCCGCCAGCCCGAGCCACTGAGTCCCACCACTACCGCAGCGCCGAACTTTCCGTTCATGGTCTACGTTAGGCTACACACTCGAATTGGCTTATCGAGACTGACGTTGGCTTGCAATTGGGAGAAGTGGCCGAACTAAACTTTCACTACGGATCTGAGGGAAAAAGGATGGACCGCTTGAATTCTATGAGATTCCAGCTTCAGTATCATAGGAAGGGATGGGCAATGGCAAGGTATAACTCGAAGAGTATAAACAACGATCAGCAAACAACAAGTACCTATAGAAACAAGTTGCAAATGAAACCTCGAGCTTTACTGCTAATGTTCGAAATTCAGGTCATACATAGGTATCTATGGGAGCAGTTAAAAATAGTGGGAAAGTGTTCAATGATCGCATTACAGTCCGTGATTCACAGTCAGGAAGAATATTGTGGCGGAGGGTCCTGTGCTTCTTGAGCATCAAGACTCCGCCTCTTGTGGTCGAGTTCAAGTTGCTTCTGATGTAGGGCCATATCTGTGTGAAGCGCGGAAAGCCGGCGCTCGGGCTGGACGTTGCTCGAACTACTGGCCACAGGTGTAGCAAAAGTGCCCATCATCGCAGCACTAGCGGGAATCAAACTACCATGGGGTATCGAATGTGTTGGAGAAGAAGCCGTGGATGTGTATGACGCAGAGCGGGCGGGTACTGAGAATGGGTCGTACGGGTTTGGGAGAATAGGCGCATTCTGAGTAGCCATTTGCTGAGGATCTGATGCCTGTGATGATATGCTGTAACGGTTCCAAGTAGATGTGAGGTGTGAACTTAGATGCGAATTATCGCTCAGTAAGGGAGCGGCGCTTGAGATTGCTGACAAGGATGAAGAATGCGAGATATCAGGTGAATTGAGATATGCGGTATCCAGCTGAGGTGGAGGTGGAAGGTCTCTCTCTCGAGATGCAACAGAGTCGGGGGGACGGTATTGACCCACTTCCGAGGACAGAAGGGTAGCTTCATAACCGACGCTCCCCCGAGCCCTACGAGATCGTTTCCTTAAGTAACACACTAGCATTGCGCAGAATATTAAGAGAAACACTGGAAACATAGAGTCAATATTTTCGGGAAAGGCTCGGATAATGCCAGCTCACTTATCCCAAATGCTAGACCAGTGCGTGTTCCAGTGCTAAGTCCTTGACTAGTAGTTGAAGACCCATTGTTCTGGGATGAGCTGGAGAAACTGGTATAACTCGAACTAAGGCTGGTTAGTGTGCCTGAGGTAGTAGTTGTGGAGCTCGAGCTCGACTGAGATGTAGATCCGGAGGTAGTGGAAGTCGTACTGGAGGTGGTCGTCGTACTAGTAGAAGTCGTGCTGGAGGTGGTTGTACTGGAGGTGGTTGTACTGGTAGTAGTATGCGATGTAGTGGATGTACCATCGTCATTGTCATTGTTATCACCACTGTCTGGTTCATCGCGAGGAGACATAAATCTGATTCGAGGATGAGAAGAAAATCCGCTGGTAGTATCACATAAACTCACACTGGTTCTCGCAGGTATACAGCGTCACCCGCAACCTCAAAAGACTGCAAAGCGAGAACGAAGGCCAAGGCTGGAAGCGAGTGAGACATGCCTACGGCCAGATTGTCTGTGATATTCTGCCAGGACAAGGAAAAGACGGGCAGCAACAAATATGATGAAATATAACGTCAGAAAAGCTTGCCCATGGGTGCCGAGTACTGTGCGCAGCATTAGCATGGAATGAAGTCGGAAGCCTAATGCCGCTCAAACACCACTCCATGATGCCAGTCACAGTGTCCCCCCAGATGCACTTCGAACAGGTAGTGCTCGCAAGCTGAGCGCGGAGGTCCGAGTGGGAATCAGAGAAATTGATTGCGGCTGCTGCTTGACTACTACGCTGCCAGATTATACATGCTGCTGCTAAGCCGAAGAATACTATAGTTGACAAATTTGGGACGCGAAATCTAAGATTAGCACAACGCGAATAAAGTCACATGACTCACGCGTCCAAGCGCGTCGCGTTGAAATGAGTGATCAGCGGAGCTTGAAATTTGGAACCCGCTATGCGAATTGTCCACAGTAGGTCAAAACTAGTACTTCAACTTGTCCATTCACAAGTCTCTTGTCAACGTCCATCTGGTACTTAGGCGACGTTTAGTCTTCTCTAGTTATTGTCACTCACAACACAGGCCGTGTTACTTTCAATCCTCAATCATGCAAACACGGTCATCTCAAGGTTCAGTCCTTGGAAAGCGTGTTCATCATGTCGATCAAAAAGCTGTCTCATCAGCATCGACAAGCGACGTTGCAACAATATCGCAGCACATGCTTACCCCAGAACAGAGCCCTAAATCGAAACGCGCCCGTATCTCGCTCTCCGGCATTGCAGGAGATTCAAACAAGGAAAACGTACCTCCGTTCCGTACTGACCCGTGGAATGACGCAACAGTCGACACACCACGTTCCATCCACACATTAGTGATATCTACACCACCACCAACACCCCCAGTCTTGCTACTTCCTGTATACACCCGTGCTCGAGGACTACTTCGTTCCACCAGCACGAGTGCATCTTCTATAGCTGGCCGAGAGGATGAACGACAGCGCATTCTAGAATTCATCACCTCATCGTGGGGTGATAGTGCACACACGTCTTTGTACATCTCCGGTACACCTGGAACCGGAAAGACTGCGCTTGTCAACTCGGTCCTGCGTTCCTTCGAAAAGTCCGAAGGGACGTCCGACCTGAGAGTTATCTCTATTAATTGCATGGCCTTGAACGGGCTGGATGCCCTCTGGGATCGTCTTTATGAAGAGTTGTATCCCACAAGGGCTTCCAAGAATGCTGCGAAACCTTGCAAAGCCAAGGGCAAGCAAGCGATCGACAAGGTGCTCTCTAGTTTAAATTATAAGTGGTATGTACTAGCACCACTGCTCATTTCGTCATCTGACCTCGGTACCAGCATTATTGTACTTGATGAACTCGATCACATTGCATCCTCAAATCAAATACTTTCGTCAATTTTCTCTATGTCCCAGCAACATCTGTCCACCCTCCGCATCATCGGAATTGCAAACACACACACCCTCACGTCGTCCTTGGCGCAGTTGTCTGCTAGTGAAGCTTCCAGCGCCCTGACCCTTCACTTTGGCGCGTACTCCTCTCAAGAACTACTTCAAGTGCTGCAAGCACGTCTCTCACCTCTCTATGATAATCTGGAATACCCAGAAGTAACAGATCAAGCCAAAAAGTTTCTTCCTGCTTCAACATTGATTCTCCTCACGAAAAAAATTGCCTCGCAAACTGGTGACGTTCGAGCCTTGTTTGAGGTACTTCGGGGGGCAATAGACCTGGCTGTCGCGGGTTCAAAGGTCCCAGATGCAGATACAAATCCTCTCACCATTCCACCTCTCATCGTTAAACCGGATCACATCCTTGCAGCCCTCAAGGCGTATCTGCCTTCCACTGGCGGTGGTCGCTCATCTTCTTCCTTGGCACCATCCCCTACTAGCAATGAGACCGTGTCCAAGATCCGTAATCTTGGCCTGCAAGTCAGGCTGGCTCTCCTATGCATACTTCTTGCATCAAAGCGGATGGAGGCCAGCTTGTCTCTCTCTGCGTCCACCACCTCAACGCCTACCAAGTCCCCTGTGAAGCGGGCAGGTTCCGTCGTTTCTCAAAGGATCACTGGGCTTGACGTTGCACAACTCCATGCATACTACTCAACTGTGCTCACACGTGCAGATAGCGACATCTTCACTCCAGTTTCCAGAAGCGAGTTTTCAGACTTGATAGGGATGTTAGAGACCATAGGACTCGTGGCGTCGAGGTCTACCCGCATGGCAACTGCCTCTCCATCGAGGACTGGCCGTCGTGTGCTCGGTCGAGCTGTATCGTTTGGCGGAGTGGCGAAGGGAGCTGCAGCAGGCCAAGACATCAAACTTGCAGAGACCGTTCGCGCGGATGAGGTCCTGCGTGGCCTGGGTCTGCCTGATGGCTCTGCTGCCAACGATGTGCGTGAAGAGGAAGTCAGGGCTATATGGGCCAGGGAATGTGGCCGCATCGCACGAGAATCGAAAGCGAAGTCAGTGTCAGGTATGGGCGGTGACAAACCTTTCGATGAAGCATTTGAAGATTAGATACAACTAAACGCCTCCACCTCCAAGTCGGTACCACAGTGCTACTATGTAGCCATTCAGTAAACTTTGCGTTATTTCTTATGACTAGTGTCTGTTTTTTTTTTATGGTTATGTCTTATACGATACAGGAACTCATACTACGCATCATCTCATGTAATATTTGTTAAATCACTGCATTAGTACCACAATCATTTTACGAATTCAAGTTCTTCCACCATTCGTTGATGTCGAGGCGTAATATAAGGTGGCGCAACGCTTCCACACCACCAGGGGCGTGACGAACATCGCTTTGTTCCTGTAATGCAAGCAAGAGTTCCTGGCGTTGCGATGATTTCAAATCTTTTTCCAGCAGGACCTCTAGGACTTTGATCTGCAACCGAAAGATCTGGAATCAGCCTACCGGTTTCATATAGTAAAGCAGTCAACTACGTACCAGGGTCGATATTCTATTACGGAATGCAGCAAAGAGTACATCAAGAGCTGATGACGCCTGGTACTCCTGCAACCGCCCGTCGTTGAGGTCACCAATCATAACGCAGAGCTCTAGGATAAGTTCTAGGCTCCCACGAAGAAGGTCACCAGCTGCTCGTTGGGCCGAACGCATCAAACAAGCACTGAGAATGTCGTTCAAGACAGCGGAGTGAGCCTCAGCGAGCGAAAAGACATCAGTAAACTCGGAGCTTGTTCCCAAACGACATGCAGTGACTCGAGCCAGGAATGCGTCGAAGTTGCCCCCAATTGCCACATCGAATATATACGCGGAGAGGGTGGTTACGAACGAATGCGCCACGAAACGGAAGTGAGTGAGGAGTTTCCTGGATTGGTTCAAGGTCGGAAAAAGTACATCCTGATGCGTCATGCGGAAAGCCGCTCGAATGGCAGATTCCACTATACAGTTTTCGTTGAACGTATGTCGAAGTGCGAAACAATCATGGCTCACCTCTGATCACACGTAAAAGGAACGAGAAAATCCTCTGGTATTTGGATGTAGTGTCCGGTGTGATAATTACTTCCAAAGGATGAGGAACTTTGTAGTCAAGATACAGAAAGTCTAATGCCCTGGTCAAGAAATTTATGAAGCATGTTCGATCTGCAGCAAAAATGGCGCTACTTACTCGATATCTAAGTACGCATAATGACTTAGCGCAAATGTACAATGCATAGGGAAATAATAGCTTACAAAGTGGGTTGAGCCATCGTTCACGTCCCGTATCGCTAGGGAGGTCTCTGATGGCGAACCCAAGACGAATTTCAGCTTCTTTTGCTATGCGCCTCGACCCGAGTTCATGCTCCTGGCTATCATCGGGGCCAAATGAGCATATGTCCTGAGATTCCACGATAACTGTTCTCAAAAAAAAGCTAAGGTCGGCACCCCCAGGAGGCCACGTCCCTCGCTCTATCAAGAACGGGGCTAAGCCGACAGCCCAATGTCTGGTGCCATGTTGAGCCACTCCAGCGGCTGATCTACTCCTTTGGCGGGACAGGGCGAATGATTTTCCGCCTCCAGCGACAACCTCACGGTCATCGGTGTCAGAGAATAAAGCAGCTGTAAGTCGTGATTTGAATGATGGGGAAGTCAGGAGCATATGTGAACGAAGCAGAACCAGATGGTCATGTAAATAGAGAAATGAGTTCTGGTCTAGGAATATCGATAATAGTGCACTGGAAAGAGAGGCAGCGTGTGAGATGAGTGGAGAAAAGACTAGGCTAGTCAGGAGACCCAGGTTCGGGGTTATTGAAGGAAGGACGGGTGGAAAGGACAGTATGAAACTTTCCAATGCAGCGTGCATTGAGTGCTCATTGAATGTATCATCTCCGTTTGAGCCAGGCTCCAAGTCGAAAAGGCGGAAACCGACGAGGTCGGACTGATAATCGCTCCCAGGGAGATTACCATCAGCAGAAGCTAGATCAGGGGGACTGTGAGAGCCAATAGTTGGTGCAACATCGCCAACCTCGTCAAGAGACCCCGTTCTCCATAAGTCTTCAATGTCTCTGGTTGACCAGACCCAAGTGATGAACGGCCGTCGCACCGGGGGATTTAGTACAGGATGACCGGGTTTTGCGGCAGCGAGCAATTTGAGAGATTTTTGAGCAGCTGGCAATACTTCCGCCAAATCGCGTAGTATAAAAGACGGCAATTCATGATCTTCAGCAAAGAGAACTCCATCATCCTCAGGTGACGCCTGATCAAAGTCTTCGATATCCAACGGACCAATTGCAGTCCGTCGAGGCTGCTGACTCGTTGCTACCCGATGGTTATTGCTGTCAGCATAGGCAACTGAGCGACACAATGCCTGCAAGTAGTTTTTCGAGGTCATTGTAAGGAGATAAGCGAACACAGCAATCAAAGACCGGGAAGACGATTTGCGAAATTGGGTATCAAGATATTTGTATATTCGAGAAAGTAGAGCCACTGGTTTCATCGTAAATCGCGGATATTGCGAGGGAGACAATCCAAGGCCCTGATAGAGCATGTCAGAGGTAAACGAGAAAATGTGAGCGAGCGTACCCTTTGGCAAAGTGACGCTAGAGAGACGACAATTTCTTCAAAAAGCTCATAGTACAGCCATGTTGCAGATAGGGTCTTCGGAGAGACGGGGATGCAGAAGTTAGATAGAGGCCCACGAAAAAGTTGGTCACGTAGATAGACGAGCACCACGGAGAGCGCATGCGAGAAAGCATGGACGGTTGCATTTTCCTCTTTGCGTCTGCATTCTCATTTAGACAGAGTAATTCATGGGTGGGAATCATGGAACCCACCGCGTTCGTAAAGCACTGAGGAATACCTCCAAGCGTCGCATCAAAGTACCAATATCTAAAAATCGTTTTAGGAGACTACATTATCACATTAATAAATACACATGTTGAACTGAAGTTGTTTGCTCACCTACTACTCATCGTCTCATCCTTGCCACTGATAAGCAGCTTGTTTGGCATATTTTCTGCGCCTCCGGATGATAAGAACGTCTCTGAAACTGGATCCCACGTATGCAGAAAAGACGAAGTTCCGAGAACTGTCATTCTCAACGACTCAAGCAGCTCAAGTTCATTCACACAGACTACATTTGCTCGCGGGTCAAACGGCAAAGGTCGCATGCTAGATGTTACGTTTGTTATGTCATTAACACTGTAAAAAAATGAATCTGACTGGTATTGTGCTGAAGCTGATACATCGGAGGACTGTTCGGTCAAGAAGGGAGTGTTGTATGAACGGTCAGGGTGTGATTGGCGCAGAACATCCCAAGAGACAACTTGATCCTAAAATTTATTATTTGAGTTTTCATACTAGGACACAGGGCGTCCTCACTGAATGATGATCACCACTTGTCGCTGAATTTGCCCATAGCACCTCTGGTGACAAGGAGGGTAGTGCAGAAATATCTTGAGCGCGCGTAGTGTCTCTTGAGTCTAAATTACGCGCATCGCGTTTCTCTAGAGTTGTAGCCTTCTCCCTATCAATTGCATGCACTATGGGGTCTTGAGGTTTGTCGAACATTCGAGGGACAAAGAACTGAGGTGTTATATGTGGCAGGATGCCCAGTGCCAAATCCATGTCATGTTCGTGCTGATTCCAGGTATCGCCACACAGTGACATTCCAAAACACGCGAAGAATATCGGTTGTCAAATGTCTTTCACAGTCTTCACTGACTGTTGTTTGGTGTTAATTGGCATATCCTTCCCTTCCTAACACGACCAAACATGGAACGACAACTCGGACTCCGTTGTATCAATCACATTGTGCTCGATTGAGTGAGCTGCTTACCCATCGTCGCATCCACAGATTCCACAGACCGGTGAGACATGGCTCAATGGTATCTCAAACAGGGATGTAGCTCGTTGGGCGCCTGGTTTGTTCGGTTAATGAACCATTGTTCATACTTGCACCACTCGAGGAATGGTCCACCGTTTCCATGACAAGCAATGCATCCTCAGTGCAATGAGGCTCCAGGTTTATAAACTCTCGAAATGTCGGTACTGCAAATAACCATCCGTCGATTTTATTGTGATACACAATCTCATCCACATATACGCTACTGCAACCAGCTATGTTTTCCATCCGTCTTGAGTCTGTCTCAAACAAGGAGAACATCAACCCAACTGGATGCCGAGGGAAGCGGTTTTACAAGAAAAAAAAGGCGCTCCCGTTCGCAGTGATGCCCATATCCGCGAAAGTGAAGGAGAGCCAGTCTGCAAGTACTCTACGGATTAGGCCTTTGGCAGAACAACATGCTGTTCGTCATCAACATTCTTTGGGTAGCCTCGACAACTTCGTGGCACTGGATGGCTCTCTATCCTTACAAAGCGCTGACAGCCGCGCCAGGGACTTGACGGAAAGTCCGTTAGCTGAAGTGACAGATGCATTTACCTGTATGTACTGTTGCTTTCATTGCGTCATTTTGACGTATCATGGTCTTCACAATCCTCATTCGAGTCTTACTCACAGGATGATCCCCACGCGTCGATATTGATATCTACTGTCTTTGATTGTTTTGCTTTCACGTTAATAGGTAGGTACTAAGGTAGTTGTATGATCAAACGCGGTCATGTGATTGTCACGTGCCACCCAATTATGCCTTTTTTGCCAGTTTGCACCGTGCAATTGAGCAAGTCAATATTGTCGTTGGGACAGTTGGTAGCTCGTCTAAATCTGTGCCTCCTCCAAGTGTCTGGATTGGCAGAGCCACGCCGGGTGTTTTTGTGTACTAGTTATTTCGGAAGTTGCAACGTTAGACTGAAATAAAAACTAGACGAGTAGACTACCTGATGAAACGATGAATCAATGCTACAAGTGCTGTGACACAAATCAATATTAGTACCTGGTCGTTTGCCATCGCACGCACGCACGCGTTGTTTATTTGTGCTCCCACCGGGAGTAATTGCTAAGTCGCGTCTCACCATCAAGTTGGACATTGTTATATTATCTTTTCCCACCATTTTCCTCATCCCGCCTCTTGTCTATCATATCATTTGCGTGACGTGGTCCTATTTGTTTCAGCCTTAATTGGCTCCCCAATCATGCCTACAACCAACCGCCGTCCACTAAGTACACGAACTCTGCCACTTCAAGTTCCCCCTACCATGTCTCCCTTCAAACAAGGAGTTCGCTCGGCTTCCCTGTTGCTCAAACGTCCTCGATCACCGGACCCTGCAGCAGATGAATCTATCAAGCGGGTGAGACCTACTCCAACAGAAGCCACCCACGGCGAGGACCGTAAGGATAAGGAACGAAGACGCGTAGAAAGGGAGGCTCAGAAGGCCGAGTTTCGTTTAAAGTACACTCGGGCATTTCCTGCATGGGTCTTCTATTTCGACTTGGATTTATCGGATCCTGAGAGTGCTGCTTTGCGAGATTCATTAGTAGCCCGGGTGGTGCACCTCAAATCAGTATGGCCGATTCTCCGTGATAATTGCGCAAACGTCTGACACCCCATCGACGGGCTTCTAGCAAGTAGATGACTTTTTCTCCAACGAGATTACACATCTTATCACTAATCAACCTATCACTCCGATCGACCCTGCTGCAAACAAGGAAAATCGATTGCAAGGCTTCTCCGCACGAGCCAGTTCACTGAAAAGCCCAATCAAGCTCCGTGGACGGTGCGTCGAGCTGTTCCACTATTGTAGACCACACTAACATCATCAATTTACAGTACTGCCGAGGATGCCACCTCCCAGAGCTTCAACCTTGTGGAGAAGGCAAAGGCCTTTAACATGAAGATTTGGAGCCCGGCAAAACTTGACAACATCCTGGAACGCTGTGATGTCCCAGCCTTTGCATTTTCCCCTACGAAACCTCTTGCACAAACCACTTCCCTTGCCCCGGCTTCCAACAAACGGTCACTATCTAGCTTACTTCAAACCGAGCGCCTTCATGGTACCACCACAGAACGTGACCCAACTCAAAAGCGACATGATTATCGATATTTCTCAAAACAGAGTTATTTCGTACTTATAGAAGACGTGCGGCAGGAGTTGGCGACGATTCACGCTCTAGAGTATCCCATACAACGAGGGCACGATGGGAAAGAGCAACCCGCGTATCCCGTTCTATACTGTGACCCAAGGTCCCGGGGGCCTTTCATAAAATTTGATGAAAGGGAACGGAGGCGTTGGGAAAGGGCACAAAAGGCAGAGAGGGAAAATGAGAACGAACGCGCGGAGAAGGTGGCTAAGGCTCTGAAGCGGAAAAGGCAGGCGGAGGTTCAGATGCTCTCGCGCAAAGCTGGCGACCTCCGCCGTTCGGTGTCGATGAATAATTTACATCGTCAGGCAACTATTGAAGAAAACGTTGACCTTGATGCTGACTACGGAGATGGGGATACAAGAGAGTCAGCGACCGCCTCGGGCTACCTTGCTTCAACAGGTATGGGCTCATATGTTGCAGCATCCGGCAATAGCGTTGGTATTACATCCACAAGAGGTACAACATCCACCGCGGGTGGTGCTTCTAGGACGCTGGAACTACCTGCTTCTCTTCGGTCTAGGATTCAACAACAAGTCGTGACATCTCGAAAAGCCCCGAATGCACCTCACACTCTCGGCCGAAAAGCGGGAGGCATGGGCCCCCCTCTTACAATTCCAGATCGCCCATTGCTCAGGAAAAGTAGAAGTACAAACACCCTTCGATTACCAAAGCGTGACGAAGGAAGTAAACCTGGCTACTGTGAGAGTTGTCGCATAAAGTTCGATGATTTCGACACGGTGAGATCGCATTTAATCTCGTACATAAGTATCCTAACGCTCGGTCCTTCAGCACACACAGGAACGGAGGCATCGTAAGTTTGCCATGGACGATGCAAACTACATCCAGCTTGATGCGGTTCTTAATCGCGTTCGACGCCGGACCTGCCAAGAAGCTGAGGAAGAAGAACGCATGTGGTCCGAATGCGGTTATGACGGCGCGTCACGAAGTTCCGAGGTACCTGAGACGTTAGGGTCCTCACAGCCAGCTCAAGACGATGACGAGTCTATGTGGGATGAGGAAGATGCTGAGGGAGAAGTGGATCTTGATTTGTGAGTGTCATGGATCAACAGTCTTTGGTCCTGTCCAAGATTTTTCTCGAATTCTTTGCATTTGGCTTTACTTCATTGATTTGTGTCACACCACACCACACAACACTTGTAGCACTACTCTAGCATCTTCACTTGTCAATACTCGACAATGAGACGAGCAAAAAATCAAGGAAAGGAAAAAGTGATATGATTCTCAATCGATCGTAACGGTCAACAACGTAATAATACCATCCTGAGCGATGCCTGACAGTGACCATCAGACGAGCAACTACTGCATCGATCAACCGAACAAGCTCACCATGGTTAATACCATCGGTGCCAGCTTCGAGTAGACCAGTGATGTTTTGGGCGATAGTGTGGTATTTGACCCCATGATACCTTGTTTGACCAATCGCTGCTGACACCAACTGGTCGCTGAAACTGGATTGGTGACCCGTTCCTCATGATCAGTGTTACTTACCGTCCAATATTGTACCCATTTGGTACTATATCATGATGTTTTGATACGGGCTAAGGGTGGCGTTCAGATGTGTAACAAAGCCCTGCCGAATCACGCACCTCCTCTCGAGACACGCTGGCACATCAAGTAAGTTACTAGTAAGGCAAGTTAAGGATGCTTACGCTAGGAAGAGAGCGCCACTGTCCGCTGCAGTACCGTTCTGTACAAAAATACTGGACGAATATTGTCACCACGCTAGATCCCTCAGGCTAGTCAATAAATTTACCGAAAATGATTTCCTCCGACGAGGCTCTCCAAACACGTTCCGCCTCCTGCGTTTCCATAGTCCTGGCGAAGTTCAATGGTTTGATTGACCCATCCGTTTCCATCTCCCAAGTTGGCAGGCATATAACCGCCCAAGTGAAGGCCGAAACATTCTTTAGAACTATTACGAGCAAATAAGTAAGACGGAGTTCGCAATTCTTTCCGTGCTTACAATCCGATAGCACGGGCAAAATTGATAGCTCCGTCAAGTGTGAGAACAGCGGGAGAGCTAAGACCAGAGATTATGACCTAAATTTTCGGGGCCAGTCAAGCCATACATTAGTAGACGAGGGCGTCACGGTGATGAAAGAAAAATACATTCATAGGTTCACCATATCCATCGCCAGCGTTGATGAGCATCGACCCGCCTCTGCCAGTTGGGTCATAATAATCAACACCACCCCGCTTGTCCATCGTGGGTGACGACACTAGATTGAATATCACCGCTAGATATGGCATGACATAACCAAGTAACGCATTCATAAAATACATGGATGATGAAGCTTTGAAGAACGTCAATTCTTATGTGTGATTCAAGGGGAAGGGGATGTAACTTAACATCCCACACGTATGGTACCTCATGGATTTTTATACGCACCGACTCGAAGGTGGGAATAGCCATGAAATGCGCAAAAAATGCAGCCGGTCCCGAATCTGCAATTATACCTATAGAACCGCCTATAGTTACGGTGCTGTCGGAATCCTATAAGCCAGTGATTTGTGCACACGTGCATCTGGTATTTCAATAGATCCAAAATAAGATCCAAGCATTTGTTTCGATGCCTGTCCCGCAATCATGACGGGCGGCGGCTTGGACGCAGCAGGAGACAGATGGACGACAGCTTGGGAAGCCAAGTTTGTGGTGGGATTGAGGCCCTGAGCTAGACCCCAGTGCACGGCTGCAGTGCCCGTACCTGTGCTGAAAAGGGCATTGGAACTTTGGAGCTGGTGTCGAGTATTTGATAGGATGGTGAATCTATGAAGGAAGATCTCTTTAATGATCAATGAGCAATCAATGAGATGTGGATCACAGTGCACGGTGATGCCGATAATTTGCCAACTCAACATCAGTTGATCTTCATGCGGTTAATTTGAAGATCCTTCATAACAATCAGACCCGATGAACATCGGAGCTCACCTAGTCGGTGGTCCAACCATAGACGTCACAGTGAACTGGCAGTGTTCTGCTGGTCATTGGTCACCGGTCAGTGACCGTGGCGGTCGTTCAATGAACGCAAAGGGTGTGAAAGCCGATCACCGTCGGCAAAGTCCACTTCCATCACTGAAATTCACTTAGCCTGATGAGTCGACCCTAATTTTGTTTGGCTATGTCGCATCGTGATTATCAAGTGCACGTGATAGCCCGGAGGGATGTAGTACCGCATGCATGACATTGGATAGCCAAACTGGAGGATGTATCAGGGTTGTCGGCTAATAAGCCCGTACGTTAGAGATATCTTTCCCCCACTAACAGGTGAATGTGTACATTTCCTGATGCTTCCATGTAGACTACGAAAATGTTTATATTGATACTTGGCGAAATTTTGACTCCTAACCCTACCACAAGACTTGAGAAAATTTCTCCAAGGCTTCGTCTTGTTCGAACGGAGTTTAAAGTTCACAAACTTCTTGAACTGTTAGTGCATCCTGAATTCTCAGGACATGTTGTTAATCCTACTCTGAACGACCCTATTGATTTGTGTCACAGCACTTGTAGCATTGCTCTAGAATCTTCACTTGTTCATACCCGATAATGAGACGAGCAAAGAATCAGGAAATTCCAAAGGAAAGAAAAAAGTGATATGATTCTTAATAAATCGTGACGGTCAATAACGTAACAATACCATCTTGAGCAATGTCTGACAGTGGTCCTGATGTCAGACGAACAACTATTGAACCTATCAAGCTCACCATGGTTGACACCATCAGCGCCAGCTTTGAGGAGACCAGTAATGTTTTGGGCGACAGTGTGGTATTTGACCTCATTATACCATGTTTTACCAACCGCTGCCGACACCAGCTGATTGCTAAAACTAGATTAGTGACCCGTTCATTACAATCACGGAGTTACTTACCGGCCAATATTGTACCCATCTGGCACGACATCATGGTCCTCTGTTAAGGGCTAAGCGTGGCGTTCAGATGTGTAATAGAACCCTGCCGAATCACGCACCTCCTCTCGAGACACGCTGGCACATCAAGTAAGCTACTAGTAAGATAATTTAAGGATGCTTACGCTAGGAAGAGAGCGCCACTGTCCGCCGTTGTACCGTTCTGTACAAATATACTGAAACAAATATCATCACCACGCTAGATCACTCAGGCTAATCGATAAATTTACCGAAAATGATTTCCTCCGACGAGGCTCTCAAGACACGTTCCGATTCCTGCGTTTCCATAGTCCTGGCGAAGTTCAATGGTTTGATTGACCCATCCGTTTCCATCTCCCAAGTTGGCGGGCATATAACCGCCCAAGTGAAGGCCGAAACATTCTTCGGAACTATTACGAGCAAATTAGTAAGATGTGGTTTGCAATTCTTTCCATGCTTACAATCCAATAGCACGGGCAAAATTGATAGCTCCGTCGAGTGTGAGGATGTGAGGAGAGCTAAGACCAGAGATTATGACCTAAATTTTCGGGGTCAGTCAGGCTACATTAGTAGACGAGGGCGTCACGGTGATGAAAGAAAAGTACATTCATAGGTTCACCGTATCCATCGCCAGCGTTGATGAGCATCGATCCGCCTCTGTCAGTCGGGCTATAATAAGCAACACCATCCTGCTGGTCCATCGTAGGTGACGACACTAGATTGATTAATGCTAGATATGGCATCACAAAACCACGTAAAGCATTCATAAGATACATCTTCAAGTTGTTGATGAATGATGAAGAGCGTCAATTCTTATGTGTGGATCAAGAGGAAGTGGATATAACCTAGCATGATACACCTCATCGATTTTATACGCACTAGCTCGGAGGTGGGAATGACATGCGTGCAGCAGATGAAACCTGCTCCGAATCTGCAAAATGCAGTCATGGTGCTGTCGGAACCCTACAAGATTGTACGCACTGGCTCGAAAGTGGGAATGACAAGCGCGACAAATGCAGCCGGTTCTGAAGCTGCAATCATATGCTGTTGGAACGCCCACAATACAACGTTTCATTCATACACGAACGGTGTCAAGTTGCACACACGTGCATTTATTTGAATAGATCCAAAAGAAGATCTAAATATTTGTCTCAATGCCTATCACATGATCATGACCTCACCAGGATAACCTCGGTCCGACAGACAGCTGGGCTGCGGCTTTGATGCAGCAGGATACAGCCAAGAAGCTTGTAGTGATCCAGTATTGTCTCTGCACAGAGACGCCATATTCGCAATCGGTTCGTAAACGACCGGAAAGGTCCCTCGGTAAGTGGGTGTAGGGTCTCGGTATGCTAAACGCCACACACCTGGGGTCCGAACCTTCCTACCCTCCCACCAGCCCTCCCTCAACCGTAAACTACCATTCCGGTGTGTCTCATCGTATGCAGCTGGCCGGTCATCGGACGCGAATACGGTCGTGCGACAGAACCTTTATTCTTACTGTGTATGGGTTCAGTAGTATAATTTTAAACAGAATGAGAAGGTCAACGCAGTTTGGGTACGGGTAACCCCCTGACGAGAACTTTCGCAGGTTCAGAACTGCTACCATCCTCGCCATCCTAGCGTTCTTCTAAACCATTATCCTAGGAGACAGGTAGTCGTCAGGAGATCGAGGCCGTGGCACTCACGTGTGCTGAAGAAGGGCATTTAGACTTAAAGCTGGATTTGATAGGATGTAGAATCCACGAATGAAGATCTCTCTAATAAGCAATCGTTGAGATGTGGATGATGGCGCAAGAAAAACTTGAGTATTCAACATGTTGCCAAGTCAACATCTGTTGAGGCAATCATGCGGTTAATTTGAAGATCCTTCATTAACTAGAGCATCAACACCGAGCCAGGTAATTAAGAGACTGGGTGAGCACGTACAAAGCGCTATGTGATAATAAGGACATTCCAGGAAGCAGTTTGCTTCAAGGAATGAACGTTTGAACTTTGCTTGTCCCACTTCAACTACAGATTCCATATATGGAAATCTGTTATCGCTGTTCTCGAAGTCCCAGAATAATTTGAGCCCTTCCAAGCTGAGCTAAAACATCTACGAGACAAGATCGTCGAAGAAGAAAGTAGCCAGTGCACCGCTGTATGACCCACTGGCGCTCAACTGGCGCTGGACACTGGTTTACAACGACAAAGTCCGCGTTGCCTCCGCCATTCAGCTACTGATCTGCAAGGGACCTCGAGCTCCATACTCATGGTTACCGCTACCCTAGTAACTTCAGATTGATACACTTTTATGTCATAAAATTCTATGTAAAACGATTTCAGGGACAAAAGACTGACCCCAACCATGTGCGGAACTTCATCAGTAATTTTTGCTGGCCCGTTTGATTTTCAAACCACCTTGACCTAAAAAGTAGCGTGACAGTAGTGTCACATCCGTAAGTAAGTTCAGATTTCGGTCAAGGCTGGATCGCTCTTTGCACAAAACTCGAACAAAACTACCTGCAAACAGCTTACCACTCAGTCAGATCGCACAAAGTGTTGGATGATTTAAAATCATCGCTATTTTCAGTTTTACCACCCACTCACACGGAACATTGTGAATATTGTAGGCTCTCGCAACACTCGCACCTCTTGGGTCTATTGTACGTACATTCTTTCCTTGTTTTCTGTCCCCGCCTCATCCGGTCGTTTTTTAGTCACAACTCCACCAACCTTCGGCTTCTCTTGCTTCCTAAGATACAATTTTTTTCGTCCAGAATTTTCCCCATATTTTTTGGGGCTCGTAGCTAGTAAAGCATCCTCACACAGCATGTCTGAATCACCCGATGCAACAGACTCTGTTGAAGATTTGCACGATGATGGACAACTGACAATCCGGATTCCCAATCCTAAAATGTTCATGGCTCGTCAGTCGCAGTGGAAAGGACGCAGAGGGAAGCCACGGTGTGATCGCTGCCGGGTAAATAACTTAAAGGTGTGCCCCAGCTTGCTATTGACCTCTCCAAAATTACTAACTGTCCGGTAGTGCGATAGGGTTCTTCCGACTTGCAATCATTGTTCATATGCGAACGGAAAGGATTGCGAATATACTCCTTTACCAACACCTGCTCACCGAGGAATCCCGCGGTGTGATCGTTGTCGTCTCAGAAATATGAAGGTATGTTTATGCTTTGATCAACTAAGTATGTGAATCTTATTTATCCTTCGGAACAAGTGTGACCGTAACTTGCCGGTTTGCAACCATTGTGCGGAAGAGGAGAGTGCTACCGAGTGCAACTATACTCCTAAGAAGAGGCATAAAGTTCCATCCGATCATGGTGTGACCCGGGATAGGCAGATGGCTCCATACGGTGCTAAGACAGCATCTTTCCTCGTCTCTGACGTGCCATCACCAGAGGAGCACACTGCCTTCGCGCACAATGATTCCAATGAGTCTAGAGACAGTCATAGCTTTTATGGACAAAATGTGGCATCATCATCATCACGGAGCTGTGGAGCATCAGATTCATCCACGTCACATGTTAGGGGTGGCTCTCAAGAGGGCGAACCTTCGCTCCATTCGCATTTTGGTCGATTCACTCCTGACTACCACGGCCAAGGACGGCCCTCCGCCTCCAGTTCAGGGCCTCAAAACAATACTCCACGCACCCAACCTGATAACTCAATCTCGTTCATTTCACATTCCTTTCCTTCTGACCAAGGGACGGTAGTCACGAAGTCCCTCGTCGAATCCTGGGTACATCCGTCGTTTGCGCCTTTGCCTGATGCGGTTTCCCACCGGATCGGTACCGTCAATTCTGCCGAGATGCCGAGTCGAGAGTCCTTTGAGGATACCCTTGCACGGTTCCTCCACGATTTGCCGCAGGACCTTCGTGAAACTGCTGCTTTTGCACCAAATATTTACGCCGCCACGTCGCATGCGTTGTCAAAAGGCAGCTTGGAAGGTCTTTCAGATCGGCTGCGCATGTGGCTAACAATTCATCATGTACGGCTAGGATCTGAGAAATATCACCTTCTATTGATACCACGGGACTCTTTTTTCCACCTCGAGGCGGCAGAAGAAGAAGAACTGAGGAAAGATTATATTGGTCACATAGACAGCCACGGAAAGACTTCTTCAAAAGTTGATGCTGTTGATCACGATTTCGGTGGTTTTGAGTGGACGAGAGCTTTTGAACGCATTCCCGTACAAAGCCAGATCTACGATATCCTTGTCTACGCTCATCGAGCTCATGGCTCATCTTCTTCGATGCTCTTTGAGACAAGGCGTATGGGAATGGTATGTGGTTCTTTTGTTTTGACTATTGATTTATCCAATACTCCACAGGCGACTATGACCTGGCCGATGGTCGAAATATTCATTCGTCTGTGTCCCTTGTGCAACTTGCGGAGCAAGTCGGCTCACAGTGTGAAACTCGAGCCTGCTTATCCCCCATAGGACACGGATCGGATCAGCCAATGATTGTCATCCGTATGGATACAAGATGATGTCTAAGATCGATCATGCCTGTACCACGATATCTGGGAAGTATATATATCTAAGAAACTGCACAGTACTTGTCTAGCAAGCATGGCATAGTGGATCGCATTTTTGGAAATTTAAACCGTGGATAATGCATGATTAAATCTCTACTGTAGGTCTAGAATAAATACGTACGTACCGTAACATACTGCCAGGGTACGCTATCCCGAACCTATGTATCTCTACCGGAATCGTTGCACTAGAATTGTGATGTCATCCATCCATTTATCTTCCATTTCCAAGGTGAGATTTCGAGAAACAAGCTCTGTGTTATCTCCGCCAACAGCATCCCGCAGGAGCCTGAGTGCTAAATTGCTTTGCAAACCCATGTCTGTGGCAGAGTGTATGTGGCGTCCTACTAAACCCACCCAGCGGTCTGCCATTTCTTGGTCTGATAATTGAATATCGTTATTGTCATACAAGTCCTGCAGGCCATCAGATGACAGAATGAGGAGTAGTTCGTGTTGAGAGACGTCGAGGGAGTGGTGATAGACTTCAGGGAGGTCGGATATATATGGAGGAGTAAGAATACGACTGGCATACTGTGCTACCTGATGTGGCGGTAACCAGTCTTGCAAGTGCGGCGCAAAAGCGCGGCGAGTGTAAATCGAAGGAACCTTGAGCCATGTGTCCCCCAACGCTAGCACAAGGTCTCAGGATTAGGACATGTCATGCAAAATATTTCAATAAAAGGAATACCTCGGGTCGGAGCCAGATATCCGAGCACTCTGTTGTCATACACACAGGCTTGCTCTGACTCTGGATGCTCTCGCCGTATGCGCTGACTTTCTGAGCGATTGTGACAATTATGTACAGAATTGATGATCGTTGCTGACCATTTCCCAGAGAAGGATCTATTGCCGAGAACTGTGATAATGTTAGGAAGGAGATATAAGATGATAAGAGCTGCACTTTACCCGCTATGGAATCTCCCAGATTGAGAATCCATACATTTTTCTTTAGTGGGTCAGATAAAGCCAAAAGTACGGTCGAGCCTTGAGTGCAACGTGTCGATATAGTATTCCATTCAGAATAACGATGTAAGATGTGTTGGTTGAGTTGGGCGTCGTTCATTTGTGTAAGACGATCGTGAGGCAAGAAGTCCAAAAGGTCAGAACGAATAGACTGGTCCAGATGCCTGACTGCGGTGCACAAAACCTCCGAGACAAATTCCGGCTTCAGGGATGTGGTAGGTACGCTCTGAAGAAGAGCTTGCAGTGACGTCCTAACTATCGAAGGAAGCCGCTTGTGGACATAATTTACAGTGTCATGGCCGCAATGACCTACAAAAATCCAGCCGTTAGTTCTGCAAGGGGATACGTATGACGTTCGTAAAGAAGTTAGAGCACCATCATAGATTGCCGTGAATTGCCAAACTCCGCCAGGGAGCTCCCACTCCTCAATGCTGTACCGGTCCTGATTGAGATCAGCGTAAGCCGCGCATGGCTGAAAAGTGACGCTGTCTACAAATGTCGATGAGGTCGCATTGGACATGCGATGCAGTTCGGCATCGAGTGCAGCCTCTGGCAGCATGTGATATGTCCATCGTTCCTTGCCCCCCCGTCCGAGATCTGTCGTACAGAAATCCTTGACTTCCTCAAGAGCCCGGAGATTTTCTGTGGACGTGGCAGCTTGAAGGTTGACTATATTGTAAACCATC